GCCACAGCACGGCCAAAAATAAAAAACATAAAAACAGAAGAGCCTTCTGTGGATCTCAGTGTCCACCAGGTCACAATTTCTTGCCCTTATATCCAAAGCCCACCATCATCTGAAGGACGTTTACAGAGCCTAACAGTGAGAAGGAACCTAAAAATCACCTAATCCAGCCTGAGCCTGTAAGTCTTTTTCACAGTAACCCTAAGAAGACGTTGCCATGCCTCTGCCGGTATACTTCTCATAATGGGGAATTCTCTCTTTCATGAGACGGCCTGACTGTACTTCTACCCGTTGGTCTAGTTTTGATCTTTGGAATTATTCTTCCTTCCACATGACCACCTTTAAGAATATTGATATTCCTCTAAGTTGTCTTCAGGCCCCAGGCTTATCCCAGCCCAGGTCACTCTTTTAGAAGTAGTCTAGTTTGTTGGTTTCCTTCATAATGTACAAGGTCTAAAACTGAATAGTGTTTTACATGTGAATTTATCTTCATAAGGAATTAGAACCATCCCCTCCCTCATTTGGAACACTGTACTCCTTTTAATACATCCAGAGCCAGACTTGCATTTTGATCAGCCACATCACAGCGTTGCTTATATTAAGTTGGCGTCAAATAAAACACCTGTATCATTTTCACAAGTGCTGCTTTGACTCATATCTCCCCTGTGCCAGTGAGTTTAGACCTAAATATAGGAAACTTCCTTTATACCTGCTAGATTGCATCTAGTGAAGTTTCACCCATTTTTCCAGTCTGCGGAAATCATTTGGACTCTGGTTCTGTGTCTCTGTGGTGTGGAGGGCCATGTCTCACGTGGGGATTGTGATCCAGAGCCTGAGCTGTGGAGCCCCACTTCCGAGTCTGAGTTCCAGCTCTACACTGGCCGGTAGAGCAGCCTTGGGCAATTTCCGTAGCCTTTCTAAGCCTTGGTTTCCTCATCTGTAAAATGAAGTTGATTAACACTGATACTCACTCGTAGGATGTAGAAGTTATAAGACTTTAATGAGATAATTCATACAAAATACTTATTAACACAGGGCTGGGCAGTAAGCACTCATTAGCTGCCATTATCTTGAGGATTAGAACCACTGCTACTGCCAGTTCACTTCCTCAGTCTTTTAAAAATGACTGTTTCTCACCCCAAGCCCCCCCAGCCTCATCGTCCTTTGCTTACAGTGTCCCCTCAGCCCCAGATGCCTGCCTCATTCTGCCACCTGCCCAGCTTCAAAACCTCTGCAGTATCTTTGATTCTTCCTTCTGTTATGTTCCCTGTAACTGGGAGCTCCTACTGGCCAAGCCTATTGGAATTGCTTCATAGCCCACCTTGTGTCGGGTTCTTTCCATTTCACTTCCATCTTTTAGGTTGAGTCCTTTATTCCTTCACTTCTCTGCTATTAATAGCTGCCTCCTTCAACTCTCTTCCCTTCAGCTGCTTCCATCCTTTTCTGCCCCCTCTGAAGCCCACTGGCCCCCCGCACTCAGTGCTACCTCCCTTTCTGCCTTCACCCCCCGTTCTGCCCTTGCACACACGTGGCCCTCGCATTCCAAGCCTTTCCGGAGCTGGGCTCGAGGATCCGACCACCAGAATAGTATGACCTTGGGCAAGTGGCTTATTAGCCTTTCTGTGCAACAACCGTAAGTGCCCCTCGAATCTGTAGGCAGCGTCATTGAGAGAAGTCAGTCAATGGCAGGGGAGGCACCGGGGACAGACAGGTGACCCCTTTCTTCCTTCGACAAAGTTTCCCTGGGCAGCATCACAGTTTCACAGGATCTCTCCTTCCTTTCAACATGTAGAGTACAGGATATTTTCAGTTTTCAGACACACACACACACACACACACACACACACACACACACAGTCTACAGTTACAAACTCATGGTATATTATTTTATGTGGCTTAAGGGAATTTTAAGGATTTTTTGTTTGTTTTTGTAAGCAAGGCTCATACTGACCACAAGCTTGGGCAATTGGTCTTTGGTCCATCAGTATAAATAGATATTTGTGGACCAAGTCTAAATCCCACCCATCACAGTCCTCCCTCAAGGCCCTGACGTAGTTTCTAGCATTTCCGGCCAACATGGATTTCTCTTTTTCCATCATAGCCTGTGCTACTGGCTGTCTCTACCAACCCCCTAGAACTTGACCGCATCCAGTTCGCACCCTACTGGATTTGCAACTCTTGGTGTCATCTTACATATTTAGGTCCCTTATAACTCCTTGTGAACACAGGCAACCTTTAAAGGCTCGGCAAATGTGGTCACTTTGCCCAGAGGTCTGTCTGCAGCCAGGATCCCATCATTGTTCTAGAGCCAGGAGAGAAACATAGTTGAAAGCATATAACTCACCTGAGGAAATCTGAAGGAAAGAGGATGACGTGGGACAGGCATGGAAGCAGAAGCTGAGAAACAAAGTCCAAGGAAGGACTTGTGAAGAGGAAGCTGGAAGCACTGGGTCTCCACAGGACACAAGTGCTGCCTCACTGGGAGATTTTAGGGGGATAAACTATTTACTTCTTTCTTGCAGCATCTCTTATATGAGATTCCTTCTGGACTGGTCTTACCGATGCACTGACAGCCCACAGCTGTGCTCAGTGGCGCCCCCTGCGTGTGCTGTAGGGGAGAGGGAAAGGAGTATCTGCACTCTCCTTGTCTTCGGAGGTGACTGAGCATGATGGGGAAAGGACCCTGTGTTAGTCTCCTGGGGCTGCCATAACGAATTACCACATAGTGTGTGGCTTAAAACAACAGAAATTTGTTCTCTCCCAGTTCTGGAGGCTAGAAGGTCAAAATAAGGGTGTCAGCAGGGCCACGTTCTCTTTGGAGGCTCTAGGGAAGAATCCATCCTTGCCTCTTCCTAACTTCTGGTGGTTGCTGGCCATCTTTCGCATTCCTTGGCTTGTAGACACATCACTTTAGTGTCAGCTTCCATCTTCACATGGCTGTCTTCTTCCTGAGTGTCTGTGTCCCTGTGTCTTCACCTGGCCTCCTTATAAGGGCACCAGTCATACTGGATTTAGGACTCACCTTAATCCAGTATGACATCATCTTAACTAATGACATCTGCAAAGACCCTGTTTCCAAATGAGATCACATTCACAGGCGCTGGGGGATTTGAACTTGAACGTGTCTTTTTTGGGAAGACACAGTTCAACCCACAACAGAGCTTATGCTATTAAAGAAGTTGAGTCTGGCTGACAGACATAGAAAACAAATTTATGGTTACCAAAAGGGATGGGTGAGGGAGGTAGATAAATTAGGAGTTATAATATAGGGATTATATATATATATATATATATATATATATATATATATATAAAATAGGGATTAACATATACACACTACTATATATTGGGTTGGCCAAAAAGTTCGTTCGGTTAGTGAATACGTTGTTCAATAAAGCTCTTCATGAAAATGAAAAACATGTTTTATTTGTACTTAAAACCGAAAGAATTTTTTGGCGAACCCAATATAAAATAGGTAAACAACAAGGATCTACTGTAGAGCATAGGGAATTATACTCAATATCTTATAATAACCTACATGGGAAAAGAATCTGAAAAGGAATATATATATATGTATAATTGAATCACTTTGCTGTACACTTGAAACTAACACAACATTGTAAATTAACTACATCTCAATTAAAAAAAAAAGAGTTGATTCTGGTAGAGGAAAAAAAAATACGTGCAATAGTGGACTTAAAGAACACACCCAAAAGTTATGTAAACCAGATATAAAAGACCATATCTTGGTATAACCTATTTTGTACCAAATATACTCATATACATATACATGTACATATACATATATGACATATACATAAGTATGTATTTTTTCCAGATGAAGATTCAAACACAATAAAATACAAACTATAAAACACTTAGAGGAAAATGTAAGAGTCTACCAGTATAAACATGGGGCAGGAGAAACTGTAAGTAAACATAGAAGCTATAAAAGCTAAGATGAACATACTTCACTAGGTAAGGCAATCAACAACCATGGGAACATATAAGGAAATACTCAAAACTTACTATCAGTTAGGAAATTACAAGTTCATGATGAAATGTCGCTACACCCGTAAGACCGGCAAAAATGAAAAGAAGTGAAAAGAAGTTGGAGGGGATACTTTTGAACATTGCCAGTGGAAATGTGAATCGTTAGAGCCTGTTTACAAAGCGTGATGGCAGCCTTGTTTAGATCCTGATTAGAACAGTTGCAAGAAAGTTGTTTGTTTGCTTGTTTGTTTAACACAAGAGAGAAATGTGAACACTAACCATTTGATGACATTAAGAAATTATCCTTAAAATTTTAGGTGTGATCATAGTATTATGGTTAAATTTTAAAGAGTCTTTTTTTTTTTTCTTAGAAGTTCTTACTGAAATATTTACTGGTAAAATGGTATAACGCCTAGAATTTACTTCAGATAATCCAGGGAGCAAGGGAATCAGTGAGCAATGGTATAAAGCACAGGTCAGCACACTAGAGGTGCAGGCCAAATCCAGACCACCTCCTGGTTTTGTAAATAAAGTTTTATTGGAATTCAGCCACAGTCATTCAGTTCCGTATTCATTTAGTATCGCTGAGGTGGCTTTTTCCCTCCAGCAGCAGAGCTGAATAGTTGTGATGGAGAGCATGTGACTTGCAAAGCCTAAAATATTTACTAACTGGCTCTACAGAAAATGTTTGTGACCCCCTCACCCATAAGGATGCATGTTTGGATGCAAGTTCATAATAATTGGTGCTGGGGACTGACTATATGAGGGCTTATTAGACTAATTATCATATTTGTGTGTGCTTGGACTTTTCCATAATGAAAAGTTAAAAAAAAAAAAAGTGGACCCAGTAATCTCACTCCTAGTACTCTATCCCTTGGAAACGAAAGCCTCAATTAATAAGGATATATGTATAAGAATGTTTACTAAAATAGTTTACTGGAAATAAATTGCCTCCCAGTACGGGATGCTATAAATCACATCCACCCACGCCATGGAATATTATGTTATCTTTTTAAAGAATGAGCTAGCGTTTTACCAGTTCACTTGGAGAATGTTTCATGGGATATTTTCAAGTGAGAAGAGCAAGATGTGAAAAAGTCTGTGCATGACAGTCCCAGTTTTATAGAACAGTGACAAAAATAAGCCCTTCGGAATGTAGGGGTGTGTGTGTGTGTGCGTGCGTGCGTGCGTGCACGCGTGCAGGATGCATAACGGGTTGCTAACATGGGTTGGGGGTAGAATGATGTCTGTGGAAGGAAGCAAAGCAAAACAGAAAAAGGCTGTATTTCAAAAAACAGCCTACACGATACGATCCCATGTATGTGTGTGTGTAAGTTATATTTACAGGTATAACGTGCTTTGCTTACTTCAGAAGAGAGTTACGATTTTTAAAACGACCAGAAAGGAGTGAATATTCGTCCTGCCCTATGATAGAAGTAAGAAAATAAAAGGGAATTTGGTTAGGAGCTGGAAAGTGCCCAAGAGCAGGGAAACAAGAGAGGAGAGTGACCACTGTCAACCCGGGCCAGCTAGGGTAGGCTCCATGGAAGGTTCTAGCTGTGAGAGAGGGGGTGGCTGGACGGTCTTTGAGCCACAGCCCCTCCCTGATCTCAGCGCCTCTTCCTCCTGCTCCCGGAGAAATAATGTTTCCCTGGAGGATGAAAGGCATCCCTTTGTGCAGGCTTTAATTGCCATGTTGGGCCAAGTGAATGAGTGGCATGCGGGCGCAGCAGCTGGGCACAGCCAATGCCAGGCAGCAAAGCCCGCTGCCTTAGGACAGCCCGGGCCAGCTGGCCTGGGAGTGCTGCCCACCTCTGCCCCCCGCAGGGGGGCCCTGCAAGGGGACAGTGGAGCAGAGGGGTCTGCGGAGGGAGGAAAAGGGGCGGGGCGTCTGGGAGGGTCCCAGCCACTGTCAGAAGCTTATTCATCTCATCCTCCTTCCCCTCCCCCCTCCCTCTTGTTTTTCAGACTGTCAGCATCAATAAGGCCATTAATACGCAGGAAGTGGCTGTAAAGGAAAAACACGCCAGAAATATCCTTTTAGATGTTGCTTGGAGGACCGACCCCAAGGGGGGTCAGATGGCGGGGGTGGGGAATGAGGTCGGGGTGAGGCATCCTTGCTCAGCTTCAGGAAGGAGAACCGCCCCCCACCGGCCAGGCCCCAGCAGGGTCTGAACAGTGTGGGTTGGCAACAGCTGGCCTCAGAGCCCACAGCCTGTTGAGGTGGAAGGGACCAAAGCGGCCATCTGGCCCAGTCTCGCCTCTCTCCTGGGACTTAGCTTTTCAGAACTACCGAGTCCTTTGAATTTACTCTCCTTTGAGAGATTTCCTCGGGGCACCAGAGGGGTTTTCACCTGTACCATCAAAGCGCTCTGGCCCTGCACCTTGCCACACTGACCACCCCCTTGGAGACATGCTCAAATGCCCTTCTCTGAACATGACAGCAAAACAGAGGCCTTGGCGGCAGCGGTTGGCCTTAAGCCAACACAAGGGCTCTACCATGGGAATCAGAGCCACTTGTGTGAACTGGTTCACCCCAAACCAGAGGGAAGAAGATGAGAAGGTCAGGGTGGACTAGGGAACTGGTGATTTGAAGATTTTTGCCAAGCCCCCCACGCCAAGTTGGTGGAGGTCCTGGGTGACCACCGTCATAGGTCTGTGGCTTTGGAGGGAAGTGCAGGCAACCTGGCCGATGGATTCCTCGGGACCTGCCCTTGAGGTCAAGTCCAGGTACTCGAGGGCTAATCCCCGAATCCTGGAGGAGAGGCTGCCAGTGGGCCAAGGCTTGGTCTCTGTGTGTGCTGGGGCCAAGCACAGGGCAAGGGGAGGCTGGGCTTCTGTCTGCGATGGGAAGTTCCTTCTTGCCGGGGCTCAGCATGGTGGCTGCACCACAGCCAGTTGGGTTGGAACAACCTATCTTCAAGTCATCCCACCCCCGCCCCTCCGTGGAGGAGACCCTCCAGGTTAGAAGGCCATGGAAGCCCGGCACTGCCAGTGCGATGCCCAGAACAGGTCAGGTCCTCAGGAAATGTTGCTAAGAGCATGTACTGCTCTTCACTGGAAGGAAAGCAGCTTGTCTTTAGCAGAATATGCTTTGGTTGGAATTAGGGCTTTGCTGCAAGATGGGGCTATAGAACCTCTACCGGGTACCCCAGAAGCCTGGCCCAACCGTGAGCCTAGCCAGACCTTGCCTTTTTATGCCCTTGATGCTTTACTGAGTCAAGAAAACCAAACCAAGAAAAGCCCTCATTATTGGTGGCCCAATTGATTTTCACAGGGAGTTACCCAGTCTTGACCCTCCCTGCTAAGAATACTGATCAGTCAGTCTGGTGCAAGATATGAAGTAAGAGAGAGACAGTTGTCACAGGACAGTGTGCTCCTCTGGATGGGTGTGAGCACAGAGAGGGCCAGGCCTGTAGTGGCCGGGCCAGGTCACACCTTGCCAGGGAGGCTCCCTGGGGCGATGGAACAGACCTAGAGGGAGATTCTGAAATCTCATCTCTGGGGCTCTCTGACTTTCTCTGGGACCTCGAGTGGGCCCAGTGGGACCTCTGTGAGCCTTAATTCCCTTGTCTGTCAAATGAAAGTGTTGGCTAAAGAAGCTTTCAAAGGCCTAACATTCCAGCTCTGACATTCTGGGAGTCTCTCTGCCTCACAATTTCTAAGGGGTGGATAAATGTTGAAAAGATCCACTCCATACAGTAGGGTTTTAAAGCCTAAAGATCTCACAAAACAGTTATTCTTTATCAGTACTTTTAAAGAACTTCAGCTACCCTCATTACCAACTGAATGAGCATTTGGAAACCTGGTTTCATTTAGAAATGCTGTTCAGACAACCATTTATCCCTGGTGCCTGACTGGTGAACAGGTTGACACCCCCGACTGTGGTATCCACTCCTGGAGGGCTGAGGACTGAAGTCTTACTTTCTTTATATCCCCAAGTGCCTGACACGAATTGGGTGCATTAAAATGCTTAGAAAATTAAAGAAAGACAGAAAGGTCTGCTTACCTCTTTCCAAGCTGGGGTGCCCGGCCAGCTCCACACATCCCTGGCTTCTGTTTCGGGAGATTGCTCTCCGGTAAAGGAGCCACAACCTACTGTGAGAAATCATCTCAGTTGAGGGTAGGGGGCTGTCCATCTCTCCTCTTGGTTTCCTTCTAGTCCCAGGGGGCTGTGCTTGAGGTGAAACCATAAGTTATTTCAGAATCTCTCTAAGACCAAAAGCTGATTTCAGCTTCTAGACCCAAAAGTCCGTTTTCAAGGCAGCCCCTCTCAAAATGCAAATTTCAGTCCAGGGAGGGAACTTTACCACACTTTCCAGCTCAGAAGCAAAACAACATGTCTTTCGGGTGAGTCTCATAGTTTCTAACCTGAGGCAAGTCTTTCCTAAATGGTGCAGTGCTTCTTACCTGAGCCTGGATTAAAAAGCCGCAAGTTCTGAGGACATTGCCATACTTGGGGTTAATGGTGCCCAGTTACCGGGTGTGTGAGGCCTGTGTAAGCATCCATTACAAAAGAAATGTGGAAATCCTCTACTTGCCTCAGAAAGGGCTCCCTTAGGTCATTTCAGAGAGGACTGATGGGACTAAATCCAGGAGCTCTTAACGCTGTGACCAAAGATTGAGTTCTTTATTGGATATAATATTAATAGTAACTCGATAGTGCTGTGTTTTCCTGATGGAGATACAAGCCACTCATCCATGATTGGTGATGTGGGAAAGTTAAAATAAATGTAAATGTCTTCCAAGTTAAAAAAAGTGGGGGGGGCTCCCTAATTACGGAGGCCTGGAGCTCTGTTAAAGTCACTCGAGGCCAGAAGGACATTTATTACACACAAAGCGTGGCAGGCACTCCACGTGGCGGGTGTGTTTGGAATTGGATCTCAGAAGGAAGTGGCCCCAGGAGTCCGCATACAGGGAATTCAAGGTGTTGGGAAATGAAGGCACCCCTGAACGAGGCCAGGAAGGTTTTTAGAAGAGGTGGAGTGAAAGCGTCATTTTATTTACTTATTTATTTATTTACTTATTTATGGCTGTGTTGGGTCTTTGTTGCTACGTGTGGGCTTTCTCTAGTTGCGGTGAGGGGGGGCTACTCTTCGTTGCGGTGCACAGGCTTCTCACTGTGGTGGCTTCTCTTGTTGCTGAGCACGGGCTCTAGGCGTGCAGGCTTCAGTAGTTGTCGCACACGGGTTCAGTAGTTGTGGCTCATGGGCTCTAGAGCGCAGGCTCAGTAGTTGTGGCACACGGGCTTAGTTGCTGCACGGCACGTGGGATCTTCCCGGCCCAGGACTCGAACCTGTGTTCCCTGCATTGGCAGGCGGATTCTTAACCACTGCGCCACCAGGGAAGTCCTGAAAGCATCATTTTTAAATTTAGGGAAAATACATTTTAAACAAAGACTGCCTCTTTCAGGGTAAGAGCACAATGCGTAATGGGAGAGGAGTCAGACGCTACCTGGAAGAGAAGCCAAGGGTGTCAGTAGCCAGGGGATAGGGTCCCCAGCAGGGGCCACGGCACTTGAAGAGCTGAAGCACACCCTTGCTTTGGAATCGTGTACAAGAAAGAATTTTGAGAGGCTGTATTTTGTTGTTAAAATGTTAGCTGTAATTATACACACACACCACACCCTCCACCCACCTCCCCACAAAGGCCCTACCACAAACTCGGCAAACCTAGAGGAAGGGCAGAGTCTGTCTTCCCACAGCAAAGCCCTAATTCCAACCGAAGCATCTTCCCACTAAAGGCCAACCAGAGCCACTGCTGGCCCAGAATGCACTTGTGCAAGTTAGGAAAAGACACCCCTCCCAAAGGACATGGCTGTCTCTTTGGAAATCATCTAATAAAATGGATTTTATTAGAAGGAAGCACTTTTTTGCCATCCGCCAAAAAACTGCCAGGATACTTGTACAGATCTGTGGTGCCTTCATTATAAGCGGTGCCCTCTGATGGGTAGTGCCAGGCGCCATGAACAACACACAGCCCCCGCGGTGGCCTTTAGAGGCTTCATCCCAGGGTTTGTTGCCTTTGTTTTCCATGACCTTCCCTCACCGTGCATACTGGGCACCCACCATGAAAAGGGGGCGCAGACCTTTTGGTCTGTTGTCAACCGGCTGCCCCTCTCGAGCAACGCTGTGCTCTGCTGGAAGTTCTGCCACGTGTTCCACAAACTCCTCCGGGATGGACACCCAAACGTGAGTTCCTGGGGCTGCAGGGGATGGGCAGGGATCCAGGGACCCATGTGGGGAAAGTGCAGTTGTCTGAGTCACAAGAGCCACTCTCCACTCTCGCACAGGGGATGGCAGCTGCCCCCATCTCCTGGCCTCTTGGGTACCAATTTCATAGACGGCTTCGTCTCTCTCCCATCACCCTCTCTCCTCCACCCCAGACCCATGTTTCACCATCCTCTGTCTCCTCTCCTTCTCTCTCTAGGTCCTGAAGGACTCTCTGAGATACAAAAACGAATTGAGTGACATGAGCAGGATGTGGGTGAGTTTGGACACGCACCCAGGGGCCACCTGTGCCACCTTATCCTTTCCCAGAGGACACAGAACAAGGACTGTGGAATGGAGCAAATTCATCTCTTTCAGCTTGTTTAGCATTTCTCTCATGAACATCAGGGAGGGAGCCAAAGATGCCCCCAAATGGAACCATGATATCCACAGTCTTACCTGGGGTCCCTGGAAGCTGTAGGGAAGTTCTAGGGCTTGGGAGCTTCTCCTGCCGATGGAAGCTCATGTCATAATGCTCTCTGGGCATTGGGATCCTTCAGCAGTGACACTGTCACAGTTCCTACTTCTTTTCTTCTACTGGTCCCATTGGGGTCACAGTACATTGAGAACTGGCATTCCCAATCCTTAATGCCAGTGGTTTTTCTTTCCTGTTTAGGGATTCTCAGTGCCTTAGGAAGAGGGAGGAGGTAGGTGGCAATATCAGAATACATTGAAAAGAGTGGTTTTGTACACATACCGGAATCCCTCTAGATTCAAGGAGTATGTGTATGGACAGGAGGTAATTTGCCTTTTGAAGAATCTCCCCAGGTGATTCTGATGTGTCATTTTGCCCCACTGGTTAAGAACTACTATGTTAGCCCTTTCCTTCAAATTCTTACCTGAGTCTGTCTGCACTCAGAAAATGTTAGCAATTATGTTGTCCAATCTACCCATTATAGATGAGAAATACAGGCCCAGAGAGGGAAGCAGCTTTTCCTATGTCACAAGACTAGTTAACCTAAACAAAGCAGAGGTTTGTCCCCAAAACTCCCAACTGTATACTAGAGAGCTTTCTATTACATTTCTGTAACATGGAAAGTTTAGGTCTTTTTCCTTTTTTTGCTAGAATTTATCTGGTATATCTTTTTTCATCCTTTTACTTTTGACTTTTCTATATTCTTTTTAATATTTTTTACATATATATTTATTGCACTGTGGCCAGAGAATCAATATGATACTGATTTTCGAAGTTTTTTTGAGACTTGCTGTGTGAGCTAGCTCATGGTCAGTTTTTGTTTAAAATTGAAGTATAGTTGCTTTATAATACTATATTAGTTTCAAATGTACAGCACAGTGATTGACTGATGGACTTTTCTATATTCTTTTGTCTTAGAAATATACTTGTCAATAGCATTTAGTTGGATTTTTTTTTTAATTCAAGATGGCAGTCTTTGTCAACTGGACACTTACTCTGTTTACATTTATTATAATTCATAATATGTTTAGATTTATATCTCCCATCTTATTTTATGCTATTTGTCCCATCTGTTCTGTTTCTATTTCTCTCATTTTTGCCTTCTTTTGGATTGATTGGGTATTTTCTTTCTCATTCAGTTTCCCCCTCATTACTAGTGGGAAGATAAAAAATAAAAGCAGAGGTTTTGTTTTTTTTTAATTTTTTGATAATGTTATCTAATAATTACAAAGTGCATGCTTAGGTTATCAATGTCTAAAATTCATATCAATGTCTAGATATCATATCTGTTTCCAGTATAGCACAAAGACCTTAGAATATTTTAACCCCATTCACTCCCTTGTATGTTGTTGTCATGCATTTTAATTTTTGTTGCTTTTAGACCCTAGAAGATATTTTATTTTAATTGTCTTATTCTGCACTCTTCATTTCCTCTTACATCTCAGGCCATCCATTTGGGATCTCTTTCTTTCTGCCTGAGTTATTTCCTTTAGAACTTCCTTTAGTGAGAGTCTGCTGGTGGCAAGCAACCACTTTTACCTGATGGAGAATGTCTTTATTTCACCCTCATTCATGGAAGATATTTTCTCTGACTTTAGAATTCTGGGATAATAGTTCTTTTCTTTCAGCATATGGAAGATATTAGTCAAGATGTCCTTCCACTGACTTCTGGCTTCCATCATTTTTATGAAGTCTGCTGTCAGAGTTACCATTGCTTCTTTGAAGCTAATCTGTGTTTGTTTCTCTGTTTTTAAGTTCTTAGTGTTTATCTAGGTGTGAATTTATTCTAGATTCTTTGGACTTTTTAAATCTGTAGATTATTATATTTTATCAGTTACAAAAAATTCTCATTGTCTCTAAATATTGATTTGCTTCATTCTTTGTTTTCCTCTGAGGCTTTGGTTAGCAGTATTTTAGACTTTCTCACTCTATTCCCCATGTCTTTAAACCACTATTTGATTTTTTTCTACCTGTTTGTTTGTCTCTATACTGCATTCTGGATAATTTCAGTAAATCTAGCTTTCAGTTCACTTATTCCCTCTTCAGCTGGGTCTAATCTGTTGCTAAACCTCTCCATAAGGTTTTCAATTTTAGTATCATTCTCATTTCTTGGAATTTTAGGTTTGGTTTGGGTTGGTTTTTTCTAATCTGCTTGGCATTCTTTATAATTTATTGTGCCCTGCATATATTTTGAAACAGTCTCTAATTTTTTTTAGGCTTGTTAAATATAGTGGTTTTATATATCACTTTTTATAATTCTAGTATCTAAAGCCCTTAGAGGTCTGTTTCTGCCATCTGTTGTTTTGATGAATTTTGCTCCTGCTATGTAGTTTCTTTTTGTATTTAGTTACTTTTCTACTGTGAGCTGCTCATTTTCCTGGAGATTTTTTTGGTGGGAATTCTTTGAATTCTAACAAAGGCAGCTTCCTCCAGAGGGAATTGGCATTTGCATCCATTAAGATCACTCTAAATTAAATTCTCAGCTTAAAAGTTATGTGAATTCTGAGCAGATCCCCTTGAGGACTGGCTCACGGGTCCAGTTCTCAGCAGTAGTTTTTTCCGCCCTCTGATCACAACAGTGGTTTAAGGCAGTAGATTTTCTTTGCAGTCCTCAGGGGGGACTCCTTCAGTGCAGGAGTACATGTGTGTTATTTCCAATTTACCCTTAATTCCCCTGCATGGAGGAGGAAGTCTTTTGGCTCTTCCACTAGACTCCTCAAGTTGGGCAGGTGAGAGCCCTGCCTCCTGTTCACCACCTGGGCCTTAAGGCCCAGAAAACCAAAACTCAGGTTCACTTGGTGTGGCAAAGTGCCGCCTCCCCACCATTCCCTGACCCCATCAAGTCATTTGCTCTCTGAATATCTGAATTACTCAGTTCCTGGCCTGAGGATTTCTTACTCTCTTGCAAGTTCATTAATGCCTTCAAAGCATTTTTAATATTCCACTCAATATTGTTAGTAGTTTTCAGTGGGAAAGTCAACCCAGTTACCTAGCCTGCCTGCCTTGTTATCCAAAATAGAATTCTTTTAGGTCTTTTTTCCTATGTAGTCTGTCTCTTCCATTTGACTAAGAGTTTCTGAAGTTAGAAAGTTCTTTTACTTTTTTTTTTTAATTAAGATCTTATTTTTTTAAAGAGCAGTTTTAGGTTCACTGAACAATTGAGTGGAAAGTACAGAGTTTCCACATACCTGCCCTGCCCCCAAACATGCATAGCCTCGCCTAATGGATGAACCTACTGACACATCCATCACAATCACCAAAGTCCATAGTTTATATTACAGTTCACTTGTGGTGTTGTACATTCTGTGGGTTTGGACAAATGTATCCATCATACAGAATATTTTCACCGACTTAAAAATCCTCTGTGCTCTACCTGTTCATCCCCCCCCCCCCCTCCTCCCCCCCCCCCCACCCCCCAACTCTTGGCAACCACTGATCTTTTTATAGTCTCCATAGTTTTACCTTTTCCAGATGTCATATAGTTGGAATCATATAGTATGTAGTCTTTTCAGACTGGCTTCTTTCAACGTAGTAATATTCAATTAAGTTTCCTCCATGTCTTTTCATGGCTTGATAGCTCATTTCTTTTTACTGCTCAGTAATATTCCACTGTTTGGATGCATCACAGTTTATGTATCCATTCACCTACTGGAGGTCATCCTGGTTGCTTCCAAATTTTGGTAATTATGAGTAAAGCTGCTACAAACATCCATGTGCAGGTTTTTGTGTGGACTTAAGTTTTCACCTCCTTTGGGTGAAAACCAAGGAGCTCCATAGTTGAATCATATGGTAGTAGTATGTTTAGTTTTGTAAGAAACTACCAAACTATTTTCCAAAGTGGCCGTATCACTTTGCATTCCCGCCAGCAGTGAATGAGAGTCCCTGTTGCTCTGCATCCTCATCAGTGTTTGGTGTTGGTGTTCTGGATTTCGGCCATTCTAATAGGTATGTAGTGGTATTTCATTGTTTTAACTTGCATTTCCCTGTTGACATAGGATGTGGAGCATCTTTTCATATGCTTATTGACCATCTAAACATCTTCTTTCATAAGGTTTCTGTTAAGGTCTTAGGCCCATTTTTTAGCTGGATTGTTTGTTTTCTTATTGTTGAGTTTTAGGAGTATATTTATATGTTTTAGATAACTGTCCTTTATCAGATATGTCTTTTGCAAATATTTTCTCCCAGTCTGTGGCTTATCTTCTCATTCTCTTGACAATGTCTTTTGCAGAGTAGAAGTTTTTGTTTGTTTGTTTTTGCCATGTTGGGTCTTAGTTGCTGGCGTGGGCTTTCTCCAGTTGCGGCAAGTGGGGGCTACTCTGTGTTGCGCGGGCTACTCACTGCTGTGGCTTCTCTTGTTGCGGAGCACGGGCGCTAGAGCGTGCAGGCTTCAGTAGTTGCAGTGTGTGGGCTCAGTAGTTGTGGCTCATGGGCTTAGTTGCTCTGCAACATGTGGGATCTTCCTGGACCAGGGCTCGAACCCATGTCCCCTGCATTGGCAGGCGGATTCTTAACCACTGCGCCACCAGGGAAGTCCCAGAGTAGAAGTTTTTAATTTTAATGAAGCCCAGCTTATCAATTATTTCTTTTCATGGATTGTGCCTTTGGTGTTGTATCTAGAGTTATCACCATACTCAAGGTCATCCAGGTTTTCTCCTTTGTGATCTTCTAGGAGTTTTATAGTTTTGCATTTTACATTTAAGTCTTTGATCCATTCACCTTTTACTTTTTTTTTAATATCCATTTTAAAATTTTTTATTCATTTTATTTATTTATTTTTGGTTGTGCCGGGTCTTAGCTGTGGCTGGTGGGCTCCTTAGTTGCAGCCAGCGGGCTCCTTAGTTGTAGCATGAGAACTCTTAGTTGCAGCATGCATGTGGGATCTAGTTCCCTGACCAGGGATCTAACCCACGTACCCTGCATTAGGAGGCGAATTCTTAACCACTGCACCACCAGGGAGGTCCCCACCTTCTTGATCCTCATACATTTTCACATGAAGTATAGTTGTCTTTGATGATGAGCATATTTTTGCTTTTTCTACTTCTCACTACTTTCTGATTTTTCTATAATGAACAAGTATATCATAAAATATGAATTTTCATAGAAAATTAATACATTATGCAATACTGTCATCTATGGCATTGATGTTTTTAAACTCCTTTGATTACTCAACTCTCTTTGGTGCCCCTTGAGGCACCTTTCAAAGGATTCCTCTACGCTAGAGGATGTAGATGCACTTAGAAGAAAATGTAGAAGTCAAGACTCACGTGGGAGCCACAGTTATTCAGTTTAAGGTTCTTTGTGCCCCATTTCCCTTTTCTTTTGTATATAATGGGGAGTTGCCAGCATCACTCTGCTAAGCCTAGCTTCTGCCCAGGCACCTAGGACATGACTGCATGGGCAGACTCCGTGGGAAGGCTTCTTCTTTACCAGCTGGGTTTAGTCCCATTTCAAACCCCCATCCCAGGTATAATACCATAGATACTCTTAGTCTGTTGAAATCCATCTGGAGGAGGTGTTTGTTCTCCTGTGTTTAGATAGAGAGACAAAAGGAAGGAGATAGCCCATAGTCAGACTGTGATTACTAAGGATGGGAGACTTAAGGTTCTTAAATGAGAAACATCGTGCAGAATTTACCCAAAGGATGTTTGTACACAAGATGATACTGTAAGAATGTTCATCGAAACATAGTTTACATAGAAAAACTGGTCTACAATTAAAACACACAACAGTAGGGAGCTGGTCTGGTAAATTACAGTACAGACATATAATGTACTGGGTAGTCACGAAAAATAATGATACAGAAGAAAATTTAAGAAGATGGAAAAAATTGCAGTATATTAAGTGAAAAAAACCATATTGATCCCATTTTATCTTTTAAAATAAAGGTGGAGCACAGAGGATTTCTAGGGCAGTGAAACTACTCTGTATGATACTATAACGGTAAATCCATGTCATGATACATTTGTCAAAACCCATAGGATGTACAGCGCCAAGAGTGAACCCTAATGTAAACTTTACTTTGGATGATAACAATGCGTCAGGTTCACCAATTATAACAAATGTCCCACTCTGGTGAGCGATGTTAACAGTGGAAGAGGCTGTGTATGTGTGGGGACAGGGGGGACATGGGGAATCTGTACTTTCTGTTCCATTTCGCTGTGACCCTAAAACTCCCCTAAAAAATTAACTGTTTAAATTGAAAAAATAACATTGTGAACTCCAAAATGTTAGCCATGATTGTATCTGGTGGTTAGGTTAAGGGTGATTTGTTTGCATATGTACTTTTTTACATTTTCCAAATGTCCTTTCTAATTTCATTTTTCAATGTATATCAACATTTTATTAAAATTTTTCCAAATTTTTATTGTGGTAAAATACACATAACATGAAATTTACTACCTTAACCATTTCTTAAGTGTACAGTTGAGTGGTATTAAGTACATTCATATTGTTGTATAATCATCGCACCATCCATCTCTGAAATTTTTCATCTTGTAAAACTGGAAATCTATATCCATTAAACAATAACTCCCCATTCCCCTCCCCACCTCCAGCCCCCAGAAACCACCGTTTTACTTTCTGTCTCAAGATTTTTTACTAATCTAAGTACCTCATATAAATGGAATCATACACGATTTGTCCTTTTGTGACTGGATTATTTCACGTAACATAATGTACTCAAGATTCATTCATGTTGTAGTACGTGTCAGAATTTCCTTTTTAAGACTGAATAATATTCCGTTGTATGAGTATATCGCATTCTGTTTATTCATTCATCTGTTGATGGACACTTTGGTTGCCTCCATGTTTTAGCTATTGTAAATAATGCTTCTGTGCACATGGGTGTGCAAGTATTTTCAAGATCCTTCTTTCAATTCATTTGAGTATATGCTGAGAGACGGAATTTCAGGATCACATGGTAATTCTATTTGTAGTTTTTTGAGGAGCTGCCATACTGTTTTCCACAGTTGCTGTACCATTTTACATCCCCACTAACAGTGTCCAAGGGTACCAATTTCTCCACATCCTCCCCAGCACTTTTTTTTTTTTGATATTAGCTTTCCTAATAGATGTGAGGTGGTATCTCATTGTAGTTCTTTTTTTAAATTTTTGTTGGAGTATAGTTGCTTTACAGTATTGTGTTAGTTTCTACTGTACAGTAAAGTGAATCAGCTATATGTATACATGCATCCCCTCTTCTTTGGATTTCTTTCCCACTTAGGTCACCACAGAGCACTGAGTGGAGTTCCCTGTGCTATATAGTAGGTTCTCATTAGTTATCTATTTTATACATCGTATCAATAGTGTATATATGATTCTATCTGGTGGTTAGGTTAAGAGTGATTTGTTTGCATATGTACTTTTTTACGTTTTCCAAATTTTCAACAGTGGATGTATGTTATTTTCATACTCACAAGAAATATATATTCTTTCAAAAAGAAATCCTGGCTGTAGATCTTTCAAACCAATGTTCTTCGTGTTGACACCCCGCTTTCTTTCCTCATCCTGAAAGGGCCACCTGAGTGAGGGGTATGGGCAGCTTTGCAGCATCTACCTCAAACTGCTGAGAACGAAGATGGAGTACCACACCAAAGTGAGTCTTTGCGACAATCCTGCTGCCACTGCCAGCCATGCACTCCCCCCGCCCCTGCTTCCCCCACCTCCCCGCCCTGTCCCCTCACACCTGGCTGGGCTTAATTGTCAGGTTTTCCAGGTAATGAGACAGCCTGGCTTCTTAGGGAGTGTTCACACCATATCCCAGCTATGTAAGAGGAAACGTTTTATAGAGTAACTGCAGTCAGGCCCCTGGGATGTGACAAGGGGCCTGGGATTTTGGCCCAGGTCTTCTGCACCTTTTGTTCCCCATTTTGCAAATAGAAAGAGGAACCCGATCCACCAGGTGGCCTTATAAAAATACTTCAGAAGCACTGACTTGACTGTTAATAGAAACAACGCCTTCCATTTATATAGTAAGTTTCCATGCAGGACCTTCTAATCAAGATATGACTTTAGCTGATATTTCTTTTTTTTATATAAGATTTTTTAAAATTTATTTTATTTATTAGTATTTATTTTTGGCCGCGTTGGGTCTTCTTTGCTGCACGCGGGCTTTCTCTAATTGTGGCGAGCGGGGCCTACTCTTCGTTGCAGCGCGCAGGCTTCTCGTTGCAGTGGCTTCTTCTGTTGCGGAGCACGAGCTCTAGGAGCGCGGGCTTCAGTAGTTGTGGCTCGCGGGCTTTAGGGTGCAGGCTCAGTAGTTATGGCGTGCGGGCTTAGTTTCTCTGCGGCACATGGGATCTTCCCGGACCAGGGCTTGAACCCGTGTCCCCTGCAATGGCAGGTGGATTCTTAACCCCTGCGCCACAAGGGAAGCCCTAGCTGGTATTTCTTACACACTTAATGCATGTAAAACTGTGTGCCAAGTGGCATATAAGATTAAGAAAAAAGGGTCTACTCTTTAGGCGTTTACAGATCTGTCGGAGAGAGAAGCTTATACACTTGCAGTAGCTGTGTAATAGTGCCGGGCAGGTATGTGTGCCTGCAGAAAAGTGCCAGGGAAGTTTTGAAATGATGGAGGGATATGGCATCCTAAAGGGCAGAATGAAGGAAGTGGGTCTTGAGGTGGCCCTTGAAGGGTGGGTATGAGGCACATAGGAGGTAAGGAAGAATGGCATGCCAGGTGGGAGGGAAAATGGCCAGAATTAGGGAGCTGGCGGTGGAAATGGAGAAGGTCATCATAATGTCCCGACTGAATGAGGAAGTAAATGCGACCAGAAGGATAAAGGCACCGGCCTGAGTCTCTGAGGCAGATGAGCAGGGGTGGTGGGCCTGAGGGCAGGAAGGGGCTGCAAGGGCAGAGCGCCGGGTGTTACAGCCCGAGAGGGAGGTGCCGGCGTGGAGGATTTCTTTCTTCAGAGCCTGAAGAACTCACACTGGCATTTAGAGCCCCCTTGGTGGACGGGCCACGCATCTCTCTGTGCTCCCCTCCACCTGCCCTGCTGCCCTGTGTTCCACCCGCTCCAGACAGACCGCACCGAGGAAGAGAGCAGGATACAGATACTCGACACCTGATGAGCCCACGTAACTTCCCCTGACTGTGCGGGCGCTTGGTGTAATATTTTCCAGCCTTCAAGTTTATTTTACTGATTATGTTTTGCTAAAGTTAATGTGAGAATGGGTTTGCCGGCCCTGAGCTCACAATAGCCACTTCAGGAGATGGCCAGAGGGCAGCGGGAAGCCTGGATAGTATTCAGAACATATTGGAAATAAGCAAAGGCTGCACTGCCTGCATGGTGCGGGTGTCAAGTTGAAGACCGACTGCTCTCACACGCTCGGTGTCATTGCACCACAGAGAAGATGTCCGTGGCACAGGCTGTGAGCGAGGGACCCTCCCCCGGGTCCCAGGGTTGGGATGAAGCCTTGCCCTATGATGATGGGCGGTGGGTGTTCTTTGCCGTGAACCAATCACAGGACCTGTGTGTGCGTGTGTGAGGCTGTGAGCGCTGCCACACCTCCCCAGGGAGCATGCAGGCACCTGTACCAAGCAGAATCCACCTGCTGCAGCCCGAGCTCAGCAGGGCTGGCTTGCTTGATGTCGGCTTAGTTGGTCTGTATAGAGAGCTCTTGAGGCGCCCTGTTCTGACTTCCTCTGCCTCCCTTCCAGAATCCTAGGTTCGCAGGCAACCTTCAGATGAGTGACCGGCAGCTGGACGAGGCCGGAGAGAGTGATGTTAACAACTTGTAAGTGGCTGTCCTCACATTCTGGACTCGATGAGAGAGAAAGCTTGGGTAGATGCTGTCACTTCCGGTTAGGGTCACAGAGGACCTGAGGGCAAGGGCAGTGGCTGGGGTGGGGACCAAAGCCCCTGAGTGACTTGACCTTGGGGCCACTTACTCCTGGTGCCTCCTCAAGAACCCTTCCAGGGCACCTCCCACTCCAGGCCTCCCTTCTCTGTGCCCCTCTCCCCTCTTTCTTTGCTGCTTTCACTGTTGAATTCGCCCTGCTTGATCTTCCAATGGCCTTAATATCCACTTAGTTTGGGGCTAAGAATTGAAGCTGGTGTGTGTGTGTGTGTGTGTGCGTGTCTGTGTGTGTCTGTGTGTGCACGTGTACGTTGGCGGCAGTTCAGGGCTTGGGGGCCGGGACAGGTGGAGCGCTGGCCTCGGGCCGTGGAGTATAAGCTCTCTTTCCTCTTGGGTCCAGTTTCCAGCTGACAGTGGAAATGTTCGACTACCTGGAGTGTGAACTTAACCTCTTCCAAACTGGTGAGTCTCTCCCTCCCGTCCGGCCCAGGCTTTCCTGGGCATTCACCTAACCCCCAGCCTGGTTCCCTGCTTGGACCAGCTGGCCTAGCCCCCGTCTCCATACAAGTTGTGCAGTTCAGGGCCAGGGAGATGGAACTGCCCACACTGTGTCTGTTCTCTTGGCCCTGGTGCAAGGAGGGGCTGAAGCCCAAGGGCATTTTCACATGAGCGGAAAGACTGCGATCCCCACCCTGCTGGCCTCCCCGCTAAGCCTAGGCCTCCAAGAGTCCAAAGACAGTCCCGGCCTCTGACAGACCCTAGACTGTGGCCCCAGCACTGGCTGGTCCTTTGGCCCAGGCTTGTGTGCTGCTCAACTGGGCTGGCCCTCAGGGTGTATTTCTGCCCAGGTGGCCTGCGCAGTCACCCTTTCTGCCCCAGCATCCCGTGATCCCTGGCTCTGTTTCCGTATGCATTGATCACTTGGGTTATTAGCAATAGATGCTGAGCTCCTCCTCAAAAATCAGGAACCATGCCTGCTCACCTCTGTCCTAGCCCCATGCCTGGCATATAGCAAGTGCTCAACAACCAAGTTTAGAATGCTTGCTTTCTGCATGAACAGCAGTGAATAAACAACAGGTGGACAGAGTTCATAAAATGTTGTCAACGGGCTTCCCTGGTGGTGCAGTGGTTACGAATCTGCCTGCCAATGCAGGGGACACGGGTTCGAGCCCTGGTCCAGGAAGATCCCACATGCCGCAGAGCAACTAAGCCCATGTGCCACAACTACTGAGCCTGCGCTCTAGAGCCAGCGAGCCACAACTACTGAACCTGCGCTCTAGAGCCTGTGCTTCCAACAAGAGAAGCCACTGCAATGAGAAGCCCGCGCACCGCAATGAAGAGTAGCCCCCGCGCGCAGCAACAAAGACCCAACTCAGCCAAAAATAAATAGATAAATAAATAAATTTATTTTTTAAAAATACTGTCGACATCCAGCTGAATGCTCTGGAATTATCTGGGGAGAATTAGCTAGAGTTTTCTAGAGAGAGCTCCCCCAAGTCTTCGCACAAACTCTTCCATCGTTAAATGGCGGTGGTTTTCTCATCCCCCAGAGAGCAGTGATTCGGAATCAAGAGCATCCTCTACACGTTTCCCCACCTGCCCCCCATCCTCGGTCACCTCTTGTGAGCCACAGAAATCGAGAGAGCTGGTATTAGAAGAAGTCTTTCCAGCTCCTGAGTCCTAGTCTGTGACCCTGTAAGATTGGGACCAGAACCTTCGGAAGGAGGCCCTGCATTTTCAACTGCGGGAAACGTGGGCCAATTACAATTAACATTTATTTGGTGCACTTGCAGTGATTCTCAAAGTGTGGTCCCTGGACCAGCAGCATCGGCATCCCCTGAGAACGTATTAGAAATGCACACTCTCGGGTCCCACCCCAGGCCTTCTGAATTAGAATCTCTGCGGGTGCTGTCTGTTTTAACAAACTCCCCAAGTCTGCACTGTCCAACAGCGTTGCCACTGGCCACGTGTGACTATTTAAATTAATTACGATTAAGTAACATTCAAAAGTCAGGGCCTCAGTTGCACTCACCACATTGCAGGCACTCAGCAGCCACACGTGGCTAGCATATTGGACACACGTACAGAGCCTTTCCATCGTCAAAGAATTCTACTGGAGTGATCCTATGGGGGTTCTGATGCATGCTACAGTTTGAGAAGCACTGAGCTAGAAAATAGTTTTCAACCCTGGCTGCATATTAGAATCACCTGGGGGGGCTTTTGAAACTCACTAATGCCCCAACCCTACCCCAGACCAATTAAAAAAGAAGGGGGCATGGAGGAGTTGCAGGCAGACATGAGTAGTTTTCAAATTTCCCCAGGTGATTTTAATGAATCTCAAAGCAAATGGGAAGGACCACTGCACTGTTGCCATGAGCTTTATAGGACATTCTCATTTAATCCTTACGAGACCTCCTTACAAGACCCTTAAGAGGTATGTGCTATTAGAACCATCTGCATCTTACAGAAAAGCATCTGGAGGCACAGAGAGGTTGAGTAACTTGCCCACGGTCACACAGCTCTAGATGTTACTAGATGCCAAGGGGCATTCCTGGAAAGCGGCAGGCAGGCTGGGAGATGGAGCGGCCTGGGGCTCCTTGCCAGCGTGGAGCCTAAGGAAGCCAGGAGATTTGGGGATGGCCGCCTCGCAGTGACAGCTGCTTTTAATTTGTGTCAAGAAGAAAAGCTGCCTTTTAATTAGAACCGTTTGGGTTTTTTTTTTTCTTTCAGTTGACAGACTAAGCCTGTTAACAGGGACTAGTACAGCCAGGGAAGGCCGAACACAGTGGCTCTGGGCTTTCCTCCGGGGCAGTCCCACTCACTGAGGGACTGCAGGGAAAGTCTTTCGGTGCCGGCCACGTGCAGGGTCTCCGGAGGCGGTGGGCAGCCTCTGCAGGGAGGAAATCAGCCCTGGCCAGTGGTGTGCACTCAGGGTCCACGGCCAGGCATCTAGGTGCTTGGTTTAGGAGCTAGGGGCAAGGGGCAGGGGGTTAACGTGGAGGGGTCTGTGGGAGCAGCTTGCTCTCTGGAGCCCGGGAGAGTGGAGGGCAGTACTTCCGTTGACCGGCTCCCCCAAGGACCTCCGTCAGCCTTGATCCTGATGGTTCGTCCTCTTCCTGGCTCCTTGCCCTGGGTCCTTGCAGCCTCTCCTCCAACTGTCCACCAGGGTTCCTGCATTTCCCCCCTTGTGGTGTTCCAAGAACCCTGTGACAAGCCAGTAGGAAGCCAAGGCTGAATTATTTCCTTCTTCGTGTTCTGATCAATGTTTGATCGTTTCCCCACGTGTTTTCTATTGCACCACCAGATTGGCTGCTTCTCAGGGTCAAGATCACCGTGAGACCAAGTTCATGCCTGAGACAGAGGGCTGGACTGGCTGTCAAAAGCCCCTTTCGATCCTGAAATACTGATTCCCCATAAAACGGAGGGCTTCCCCTGAACAAGAGCCCACCTCCCCATTAAATCAGAAACCTTAAAAGGGGATGTGTTCTTCCTGCCCATATTGGAGGGAGGTGGGGGAGGAAGCACGAAGCTCCTCAGACCGGAAGGAGGCATTCGGGATGCTCCCCCAGTAAATCCCTTCCGCCGGGCTGTGCACAGAGTAGATCAAGTTCATTTCACCTGTTTGTGACACACAGAGCATCTTGGCTGCCAGGGCCACAGGCCCCTGGTCTAGACGTCGCTGGCCACAGGGGCTCTGGCTTTTAACTCACCATCTCTCAGCAAAACCGCTTCTTGGCTTTGTGACCACCTTCAAGTTACTTACTCCCCTGTATGATGGGGATACTCTTAGCTACCCCATAGGAGTGTTGAAAGGGTTAGATGCATCACATGAGATCATGATTGCACAGAATAGGTCCTCGTGTGTTAGACTCCTCCCTTCTCCCGTCTGAGAAGGTCGCCTCTAATTTCCTAGCTCTGCTGCCTCTCCCCTTTCTGTCCCCTAGTGTTCAACTCCCTGGACATGTCCCGTTCCGTGTCAGTGACGACAGCCGGGCAGTGCCGCCTAGCCCCGCTGATCCAGGTCATCTTGGACTGCAGCCACCTCTATGATTACACTGTCAAACTTCTCTTCAAACTCCACTCCTGTGAGTATACGGGGCTTGATCTCTGGAAACTTCTGGCCGGAAGGAGGTTCACAGCCTGAGGCTGTCCCTGGAGGGAAGCAGCTCCCCCCAGTGCCCTTGGCTTTCTGCTCCTGACCCAGAAGGCCCTGGAGCTCCCGGCTGTCTTGAGAATAGAAGAGTAGGGCCAAGCCTTGCTGTGCTCAGGGAAGCACCTGGCCTGCCACAGCCGTGACTCAGGATGGTCCTCACCCTCCACCTCCAGCTCTACCACGTCAACATCCATGTGTGTCATGTACGCTGCAGACCACACAGATGAGGACAGACCCGGCCTAGACCCATAGGAGCAAAGGCGGCAGTTTCCAAAGAGTTCATCAGCGCAGTCTCTTTGCACAAATGGGTTTTTGTGGAGAAATGTAAAATATAAAACAGGGCTGCTCAAATCAATGGAAGGCCATACCTCCCCTAGCCACAGATCCTTGGGATAGTTTCGCGGAATGTATTTTGGAAACTACTGGTCTTGTGGACGTTCTTATCCGTTTATGTGCTTCTTTTTTTTTAGGAATATATATATATATATTTTAACATCCTTATTGGGGTATAATTGCTTTACAATGGTGTGTTAGTTTCTGCTTTATAACAAAGTGAATCAGTTATACATATACATATGTCCCCATATCTCTTCCCTCTTGCGTCTCCCTCCCTCCCACCCTCCCTATCCCACCCCTCCAGGCGGTCACAAAGCACCAAGCCGATATCCCTGTGCCATGCGGCTGCTTCCCACTAGCTATCTACCTTACGTTTGTTAGTTGTGCTTCTTATTTAAAACGATGTGTGTGGGTGCTGCTTCCTCAGGGTCTGCATTGTTAAACCATATCCCAGATGAATCTGATGTGGCTGGTCCCTGGGTCACGCTGTGAGGTGGCCATCGTGAAGGGTATACACAGTCAGAGTGCATGGATGATGGAAAACCGAGAAAAATCAAGACTCAAATGGATATTAGGAAGGTTTTATTGTGGAAGTCTAGGACAAGGGGTACTCTGGAACAGGTCACTGACAAGGAGTAGTCTGGTTATTTAGACCAGAACAAGGGAAGCAGCATCACTGTCATTAATGTAGGAGGGTTTCATGGGAGGGAGGTTGGAATTCCATGTTCAAGGGTTAGAAGGGTTTTGGAGCAGGGGGGCGTGTCTGAAGGAAGCAGAGAGGGTAGACTAAATCCCAAGAAAAGAAGGCAGGCAGTTGCATAGAAGCTCTGAATACAGATGAACTTGTTCCTAAGATACTACAGAACCAGTTGCGCACTAGGACATCCCCACTTCCTTCTATAAAGTGGTGAGTTGTGATAAGAGACAGGTAATTATTTGGGTTTAAAGGCCTTCTTTAAAGGCAGAGCAATACACAAGACCTTCGAGAACTGTGTGGTCAGGGAAAAAGGGATGCTCCATACAGTATATGCTTTTCTGAAAATAAATATTTTCTTTTAGAATAGATTTAGATCTACAGAAAAGTTGCAGAGATAGTTCAGAGAGTTCCCATATACCCCTGAACCCAAGGGTCTCAGTCCTGCAGTCTTTGCCTGTCTCTGGCAGGCTCTCTTGATCTCTCCAGACTCATGTCTGTGCTGGGCCTCACCCAGTGTGCCCAGTGCACACAACCCCCCGGAGGGAGCCCGCCTCTGGGGCCTGCCGTGGTCCACCCTGCTGCTTGGGTCAGGTCACCGCTGCTGTAGTCAGCGACGTAACTTCCATCCTGCTCTGTCGAGAGTGGCTTGCAGTCCAGGAGCAATCAGAAGGGAAGATCTGACTGAAAAGTAGCCCCAGAGTCCCTGCTGGCCCCACTGGGCCCTCTTGGGTTACCAGTCCCAGGGCAACTCTAGGTCAAGAATGCCTTCCTACAGGGCTGGCCCTCAGCCCCAGGAGGGATGGTCCCTTCCCGCTGTGTCTTGCCTGCCCTCTGGTCCTGCCTCCTATTCCCTCTTAGTCCTTTCCAATTTCTTCCAGGTCTTCCAGCCGACACCCTGCAAGGCCACCGGGACCGCTTCATGGAGCAGTTCACAAAGTAAGCGGCTTAAGTGAGAGAAAGGAAGGCGAATCTAAAAGTGCTATAAAGTCAATTAATCCATGCAGGAAGCACTTGCTTTTAAATCATCGAGGGGTGAGGGTATCTGCTTTAATGCTTTAAAAAGCGAAGGAAAAGAAGATGGCAGCAAACCTACCAATGGCTGGGGAAGCTATCGGTTCTCTAATAAATCTCATAGAGAAAGACAGTTTCATTCATTCAGTCATCCTGCTTTATTCCCAGGGCTTCATCCTCTTCCGTTTTTCTTCTCCCTAAGTTCTCATGGTTTTATACCGTATACATGCTGACAACTCCCAAAGATATAACTCCAGCCCAACCTTACCTCTGGATTCCAGGTTCACATCCCCAGTGGTCTATTTGACATCACTATACCAAACTTACATCTCAAACTAAACTCTAGGTTTTCTTCAAAAACCTTTTTCTTTCCCTTCTATCTCAGTAAATGCTGCCCACCATCCACTTAGGACAGAGATCGGAACTCACCATTTTCCTCATTCCCCGCGTCCAATCTATTAGCAAGTTCAGATGATAATCGACAAAGAGGTCTTGTCTCTGGTCATATCTCCCATCTCTTCCACTTCCATTGCTGTCTACCAGGACCCTCCGATATGGACGGGATGCTCTGGATTGCAGCTCCTGCCCTCTGCAATCCTATCCCCACCCCGCAGTTAGAACGACCTTGTAAAAACATAAATCCCTTGCTTACAACCTTTCAATGGCTTCTGTTTACACTGAGAATCAGTTCGAAGCTCCTCTCTGTGGTCTGTAAGGCCCCTACATGATCTGGCCCCTGCCCGCCATCTGTGACCTTGTCTCCAGTTCTCCAAGTGTTTCAGCCACGTAAGGTCCTCTTCCAGTTCCCGGAACATAGCCTGCGCTCAGAGGCTTAGCACGTGCTGTTCCCTGTCCTCAGGATGCTCTCCTCCCAGCCTAGCCAGCTCCATCCAGGTCATCTTCAGTCACCTCCACACAAAGGCAGTCTCTGGCCCCTCATTTGGGGTCTTTTTGCCTACCTTCTGCCCCTCCAACCCCACCCTCATATTCTCCATCACAGCACCCTGTTTACTTCCTTCCTGGTTCTTAGCATGACTTTATTTTTGTTTGACTGTCTTGCCCATTATTGTACTTCTAGCACCTGATTCACAGCAGTCAATTAAGCCCATAGCGTTCAATCATGTTTGAATGAATTAATAAGCTAATCAGCTAGTCTAGAAGAGGAAGAGCTTGTCTGACAAAACGGCAAATTATTCTGGTGCATTTGGGAAAAAAAATTGGTGACGAGATAAGTCCAGCTCAGCTTTCAATTAAGCATGCCCCAAGAAGAAGGAACGGAATGGAGGGAGAGACAGGAGGATGGGGCGGGGGGCGGGAAAAGCATGAGCATGATGTTTTCCTTGTTAATTTCTTCACCCTTGACTGCAGGAAAAGCATCGCACCCCCCCCCCCCCCCCCCCGATCCCAAGCGTAGGCTTCTTTTGCTGGTTCCTGAGCAGCAATCAGAGAGGGCAAGTTCGGGGTTGTGCTATCCTCCTGGTTTCCTTGTTCCGTCTGAAAAGCCTCGTATTTTTATTCTATAATAAATGACTTATTAAATGCTAGGAGACAGGCCCTGGGGCTGATTTCCTGGAATGTTAAATTCCAGTAGCTTAGGAAAGCAGCAGAGCCTATTACTGTTGGCTCCAGCCCAGAAAGCAGGGAACGTGTGGTCAGGTGATTCTGTTTCCTTTCATTTTTTTGAGGTTATAAAAGCATTTCCCATGAGTGCCGCCTCACCTTCTCTTCCACAGACACGGCGGCTGAGGCCTCAGTGTCCCCGAATTCGGGGAAAGCAACAGTGATGTCACAGGGACAGTCCTAACCTTGGGGTCTGAAGGGTTATCGTGAGACCCCAGGAGTTTCGTTTATTGGGCTGAGCTGGAGAAAATTCTGTGCTGCAGAGAGAGGGTGCTGAGATCCCTGACCCTCTTTTATTATATCTCAGAAAATATGTCTGGTGCCCTCAGTTTTGTTGGCCTTCAGTGTTTAGTTTCAAAATGGAGACCTGAGGAAGATAAAAAATTGGGGTTTATTTATTCCCATATTCATCCAAGATTAGGACACAGTATAAATGGTTTTTCTTCAACCAATATTGCTGAGTAATTCCTCCATGCCTGGTGCTACTTTATTTTTATTTTTTAATTAATTTTTATTGGAGTATGGCTGCGTTACAATGTTATGTTTGCCTCCACTGCACAACAGAATTAATCAGCCATACACATACAGATATCCCCTCCCTTTGGACTTCCCTCCCATTTTACCACAATGCATTAGGTAGAATTCCCTGTGCCATACAGTATGTTCCCATCAGTTGTCTATTTTATACATAGTATCAATAATGTATATGTGTCGATCCCAGTCTCCCAATTCCTTCCTCCCCACCCCTTTCCCCCTTGGTATCCATACATTTGTCCTCTACGTCTATGTCTCTATTTCTGCTTTGCAAATAAGATCATCTACACCATTTTTCTAGATTCCACATGTATGCGTTAATCTACGAGATTTGCTTTTCTCTTTCTAACTCACTTCACTCTGTATGACACTCTCTGGGTCCATCCACGTCTCTATTAATGACCCAATTTCGTTCCTTTTTATGTCTGGCCCGGTACTATTTTAAACCTAGCTCAGCAGGGCCCAGTCTCTGCCTTCTAGAAGCTTATGGTCTAGTTGAGGAGATAACAAATAGCTCTCAAATAAGGTGAATTCATTAAAAAGAGATCTACCTTAGTAATTAAGTTCCCTTCCTTCTTCGTATCATTAGTTGGTTTATCCTCAGAAATTTATTTTAATATTACTGTAAGCCAAACATTGCTAGGAAGATACATCTGCCAAACAACAGCATATATTCTACGGTGACGCAGAAATTAGTCTTGGGACTGTCTACGCTTCCAAAGGATTTTGTGGTTTGAATTACTCTTCCCCCAGTCAGTGAGGACTGGCTATAAATAATCTCTCCCTGCAGCGTCATAATTGCATCCTAGCACCATGGAGCCCATCTCCTTGGCAGCCTGTGCCCGGGGGCTGGGCAGGCAGTAGGAAAGCAGGGTGTCCCCTCCTTGGGGCCGGTGAAGACCCCCAGCAGCCCTCAGGCCTTTCTCCACCCTTAGGTTGAAAGATCTCTTCTACCGCTCCAGCAACCTTCAGTACTTCAAGCGGCTCATTCAGATCCCTCAGCTGCCAGAGGTAAGGCCACACACCCAGGGAGCTGCTGAGTCCTGGAGGCTGTCTTAGAGGCTGGCAGGTGGGCAGGGTTTGTCTTCCCTTTTCAGAACCCACCCAACTTCCTACGAGCCTCCGCCCTGTCAGAGCACATCAGCCCCGTGGTGGTGATCCCAGCCGAGGCCTCATCCCCCGACAGCGAGCCAGTCTTAGAGAAGGATGACCTCATGGACATGGATGCCTCCCAGCAGGTGAGGACCACTTAGGAGGAAGCTCAGGCCTTCCCGTTGCCCCCGGGGAGGACAGGAGGACCTGGGACAAGTTCAGCCACCTTCTAACCCAAGCGCCGTAAGTGGACCTGAACCAGATTAAGAAAGTATCTGTTCCCACGTGTCACTCGTGAGACCCACGCTGACCTCTCTGGGTCTCTAACCTTGTCCTTACTCCTTTCTGGTCGCCGCAGAATTCATACGACAGCAAGTTCGATGACATCTTTGGCAGCTCCTCCAGCAGTGATCCCTTCAATTTCAACAGTCAGAATGGCGTGAACAAGGACGAGAAGTGAGTCCGGGCTGTGGAGTTAAAGCACATGGTACAAAAGCTAAGTTAAGCCATGATCTCACTTGCCACACCCAACCAAAGAGGAATTCTTGGGCTTCTTCGGTAAATGTCTTGACCTTCGAATACTGGCCCCTTTAAAATCCCAGAGGAAAATCGAATGAGGCTGAAATACCCATGGACCTGTGGGTGGTAGATTAGTATCTGGAAACACTGACAGTCTTAGCGTATAACTTACAGGATTTCAAAGAATTGTTCCCAAATTAACATCGACTTTTAACCTCCTCCCTGGGTCTCCTAGCTCGCATTTAAAAGGCAAGGGATAAAAAAAAAAAAAAAAAAAAGGCAAGGGATAGAAGCACAGTGGAAGCAAACTTGCTGTCCTTCTGTTCCTAGGGATCACTTAATTGATCAACTGTACAGAGAGATCAGTGGCCTGAAAGCACAGCTGGAAAACATGAAGACTGAGGTATGAACTGGGCTCTGATCTGCGTCTGGGCTTCACCAGAACATGACAGCTTTTAATATTAAATTTGCTTCACATCCACCCTTGTTGGGCCACATCTTGACCAGGTCGTTATGCATTTCCAGTGCACTTACCCTTGAGAGCAGCATTTAAGCCGCGCTCCAGGGGCCCTGTGATAGTGGGAGATAATTGTGATCACCAGCTGGCTGTGAAGCTGTGCGGTGAGAGACCTACTCTTCTCACTTGGCAACGAGAAGGTTTGACTTGTAGCTCTGCTGGCATTTGCAGTGTCTGGTGCTGAGGCTTTACCCTGGGACCGGCAAATGTCCTCTCCTTCTTCATTCCAGCTGGTCCATCACGGCTCCCAGGCCCCTCTAACAGGACCAGAACTCCCCTGCCGTCACCCCCTGTTGTTGCTGGGGGGTGGCTTGTAGTGACCAGAAGCCTCCACTCTCGTGAGGCCTTGGGAGTGGGCCTCTTAGGAAGACCCAGGTGTTGATGTGGTCGGCGCTGGAGACGTGGCAGGTCGGCCCCGCTCGGCCCGCCCAGCGCTCATCCCCAGGCCCTCCCGCAGAGCCATCGAGCCATGCTGCAGCTGAAGGGCCGCATCAGCGAGCTGGAGGCCGAGCTGGCCGAGCAGCAGCACCTGCGGCAGCAGGCGGCCGACGACAGCGAGTTCCAACGGGCCGAGCTGGACGAGCTCAAGAAGAAGCGAGAGGACACGGAGAAGGCTCAGCGGAGCCTGACGGAGATAGAGAGTGAGCGGCTGGCACCGGGCTGGGCGTGAGGGTGGGGCCGGGGAGGGCGGAGCCCAGTGAGACCCCGGATGGAGGCTGAGGCCAGGCGCCAGAGCCCCCGCCTCGAGTCTGTCCGGGAGGCCGTCGTGAATGCCAGTGTCACCGGTCAGAAGGGCAGATCGGTGTCGGGCAGGTTGAGAGCCCCACTTGAGGCCCTGCTGCGAACACGGAGATGGGGCTACAGAGGATGAGGAAGGAGAGGGAGCCTAAGAAAATTGGTGGCATAAAAGCCAAAAACCCTGATAAAGTAAATGCCGAGCATGAAATGCTCAAGGCATGCATCAGTGGAGGGATTTGAATTAGGTGAATTCTTCATTAAAGAAGACTTCCCAGGGGACTTTATTTCAGTAGGGTTTTTGAGGGAGAAGGAGGTATATATGCTTGTGAAAAAGAGGGACGATCTTCTAGGGGTTCTGGCCTATTGGAAGGAGGGCAGAGGGTCCCCGCCAGTGCAGACCCCTCACCTTGGTCCTTGACGATACAGGGAAAGCCCAAGCCAACGAGCAGCGCTACAGCAAGCTAAAGGAGAAGTACAGTGAGCTGGTGCAGAACCACGCCGACCTGCTGCGGAAGGTAGGACCCTCACCGCCCCGATCGGCACGCGCAGGCCCCGCTGCACAGGGGGAGACGGTGACTTACGCCACGTGGCTTCTCCAGGGCTGGCGCCCCCACCGTTTCTTGGAAACCGCAGCTCCCTGGCCTCCTGTATCTCGAGCTCCACCTTAGGTGCCAGCCCCACTAGCATTAGCATTATCCCCCATCTTTATCATTTTGGCAAATAGTTGATAGTTGAGCATCTGAAGGTGACAGCTTCCTTCTAGGTGGGAAAGTGATGTCTGTGTCCGACTCTAGGGCACTCACGGTCTGAATGCCGTCATTTCTTCCGGAAGGAAGATGGCCTTTGTGCTGGAGATACGCTAGTTCGAGACACTGTGCTTCTCTTACAGAATGCAGAGGTGACCAAACAGGTGTCCGTGGCCAGACAAGCCCAAGTGGATTTGGAACGAGAGAAAAAAGAGCTAGAGGATTCTTTACAGCGCGTAAGCGACCAGGCCCAGCGGAAGGTGAGTAGAAGAAGTAGGTGGGAATTGGTGGCGGGGGCGGGGGAGGGTGTCTGTCCGAGATGGAGGTGGGCCTTGAGCACTGCACAGATTGAAAGACCTCATCGTCTGCTTCACGAGCAGGTAGAGCCCTGTGGGAGGGTGACAAGGGACCGTACAGGACAGGACGTGGTTACCCATGTGTAAGGGGTTAGAGGCATGATGCGATGAAGGGTCTGAAGTTGAGTGGGGCTCATCAGCTAGGACGAGTCTTGAGGAGGTTTTGAAGTGGAAGCAGGTGGACGTCAGAGAGGAGTGGCATTTATAAAGACCCACAGCCAGAACTCCCATGAGTTGGGATGGGGTTGGCGGCAGGTCCGATTGGAGTAGAGAGATGTCGGGTGGATAAAATGGAACGCCTCACACTTAAGAGTAGTGGCTTTCACGCTCTTCTGTGACCCAAAGTGAAAAATACATCTAATGGAAATCAAAGTTTCACAGAGCAATACTTATCCTTATTATGTGAATGCATGTGGATTTTTTTTGTGGGGGAAGCTCTGTTTACTGCATTCTTTTAAAAATGTTAGCTGTGAATTCTTACTCGTGGGCCACAACCCACTCTTTGAAAAACACGACTTAGAAATCAAAGAAGGGAAATTGTTTCAAGACGGTGAGATGGGGTGAGTCAGCATTATACCTACTGGGTGTTGGGGTGCCTGAATTAAAGATCTCGCTCTGCTTTAATTAGTATTATGGGCTCAAGCATGACATTTGGGAAATGTCCCTAAAACTCCCCACCCCCCACCCCACCCCCGCCCTTGACATTTCCTGAAGCTGGAAAAAAAATTTGGGGTACATACTGAGTTCTCACCTTCCCCCTGCTTTTTGTCATGGTAAAACTTGCTTCTGTATAAAAGAGTATACAAATCTCACAAGTATAGCTTGGGAATTTTTATACGTGTTTATCCCGTGAAACCACCACCCAGGTGGGAGCGCTCCTGTATTTCTTCTCTTTCAGACTCAAGAACAGACGGAAGTACTAGAGAGTTTGAAGCAAGAACTTGCCACCAGCAAACAAGAACTCCAGATTGTCCAAGGCAGCCTGGAAAGTTCTGCCCAGGTAAGCGTCACCTGTCTTTCCCTTCCTCATTCTTTTCCATCTCTGGCTTTGGTGTTGCTGGCACCTGGCATCCATCACCATGAACACATGGCCCACCTTGGTCCCATCTGGGATCAGTGTGTCCTTGGGAAGGGGCAGATTCCTTATGGCCTGGTGGTGGGTGTGGACCTCTGGAAAGGGGACAGTTTAATTCTCCCAACAACTCCCTCTTCCCACTCGGTCGCCCTGCAGTCAGAAGCGAAATGGACCGCCCAGATCGCCGAGCTGGAGAAGGAGCGGGGCGGCCTGGTGGAAGCCATGGCTTCTCGGGAGGAGGAACTGTCCACTCTTCGGCAACAGTTGGAATACACCCAGATCAAACTGTCCAGCACAGAGGCAAGTAACGGACACTCACTGGGGCTGACCAAGTCCAATTTCATAGTCATGGGCCTCGGCAGTGTATGCGTGGAGGCAGGGGGGCTGTGAAAGGGGTTTGGGGCCTTTGGCCGGATCGCGAAGGCGAATATTCTGCAGGCATAGCTCGTAATGCCAGCGTGCCCTGTGCTGCACACAGAGCAGATGAGAAGGGATGCACCTGGCACTCTCTCCCCAAGGGTGGAGGCCGGGCTGCCGTGGTCCCTCCCCATAGCCTCCTGTGCTCGGGGGCACACACCTGTGGACAAAGTTAAAAAGGCTTTTTCTCTGTGTCAAGCTAACTGGCTTCAGCCTCATTAGCAGCAGCTCGAGCTAAGGTGCCAGGAATCCCAGCTGTGTCACAGGGGGATGCTGCATGGAGGCTCATTAGGGGGCCTATGGCCGACTCTCACTTCCCTGGACCATCTCTAGGAATCTGTAGGCCGGCTCGCGAAGGACCAACGAAAAATGCTTCTGGCGGAGTCAAGAAGGGCTGCCGAGCAGGTGGTGCAGGAGGCCCTGAGGCGGTTTGAGGAGCCCGCTCTCTTCAGCTGCGCCGGATCTGCAGGTGCCCTTCCCCTTGCCCGGCTTGCAGGTGCCGGATCCTTACAGCCCAGTGCTCTTCGGCGTCGGCCTTGAATCCCGTGAGACCCTGATCTCAGGGGTTCCCAGCCCAGCTGCATGTCAGGATCACCTGGGGATGCCCAGGGCCACCCCCCCCCCACGCCTAATTTCTATTCAGTCGGCAGCTCTGCAGCACAGGGCCTGCGCAGTAGTATCTTCTAAACCCCCCCACCTCCCCCAGCTCTCACCCCTCCCCCCCCGGGTGTGATAACTACTGCTTTGGTTGTGGATCACGCTGATGAAATGCATCCTGGGAGCTGAGGCCTGGGAACAATTCTGAATGCCGGGAGGAGGAGGAACAGACAGGCCTCTGTGTCTCTAAGGAGAACAGTGTGGTCTGAATCCAGAGGTGGCTGCCATGAGCTTCAAATCTAGACAGGGAATCATCATCCTTAAGCATGGAGAGGCAGAAACGATAAAATCCCCACAGGGTCACGGGCATGAGCAAGGGCCCACTCTGCGTGCCCCAGAGTCCTCAGGGCATATGGTGAAGTCAGAGGAGCCCCGTGATGAGAGGAGGGCCCTGGTACACAGTAGATGGGAGAGCATCCAGGCCCGGGGCATTTGTGAAGTCATGGACGTAGCCGTGAACAGATCTCATTACAGCTCATTTTCAAGCAGAGGGGACTTGATAGTCTTGAGAGGTCCCATTCAGAACGAGGCAGACGGGAAGAAACAGCTGATGGGTGCTTTTTTTTTTTTTTTTTTTTTTTTGCGGTACGCGGGCCTCTCACTGCTGTGGCCTCTCCCGTTGCGGATCGCAGGCTCAGCGGCCATGGCTCACAGGCCCAGCCGCTCCGTGGCATGTGGGATCTTCCCGGACCGGGGCAGGAACCCGTGTCCCCTGCATCGGCAGGCGGACTCTCAACCACTGTGCCACCAGGGAAGCCCTGATGGGTGATTTTTATTATCAGCTAGAAAGGTCTCGATTTGGTGAAGTGTTTCAAGAAGGACTGTGATATCTTGTTCAGTGGGGAACCCGTCTGTAGGGAAATCCAACAGTTGCAAATGAAGTAGCACACTGGGTACCTCATTTACTGCGAGAACACCAGGACATGGGGCAGCTGTGGGCGGATTCCACAAGAGATGGTATGAGCTGGGTTTTGAAGGAAGAGGAGAGACATAAAGCCATGGAGAGGAAGAAGAGTGGGGAATAATAATCATAAAAACGGCTGACATTTACCGAGTGCTTGTAATATGCCAGGCACGATTCTAAGCGCTTTATGTGCCTTGGCCCAGCAATCCTCACTGTGATGCCAGGAGGTGGTACTATTATTCCTCCTTTGTCGGATGAGGAAGCAGGCGCATGTGGCCTGAGAACACAGCCAGTAGTGATAGAGCCAGGAGCTACAACACGTATGCCACGAGACGCAAGAGCCCGTACTTTTAACTCCTGTGCGTGCGGTTCAGTCTCCGTGGACCAGTGCACAGAGGCACAGCAGTGGGAATGATGGCGTGGGCAGAACGTGGAGCCAGGGGTCTGACCCCAAGAGTAATGGGAGTCCAAGGGCCTTGAAACACTTAACAGGAAGGCCTGGATTTGATTCAGTGGCAGTGATGGGAAATGAGGGGCAGAAGCTAGACCGTGATGCCATTGCCGTGGTTCTTGGCTAAAGGACCAGGTAGCCTCAGAAGTACAGCCTTTGAAGCTACAGTAAGAGAATCACGTACCAGCATAGCCATCGATCTCTCCTCCCTCCCCCTTCTTAGGGAAGCTCCTGCAGGGCTGGGGACCCCCACTGGGAAGGTCATCCGTCAGGCAGCTTAACTAACAAGGATGAAGTGAGCTGAGACAGCTCTGACTCTGACTTTGCCCTGTCTTCCCTCTCACAGATCACCTACTCTCCAAGGTCAGGTCCGTTTCCAGCTGCATCGAGCAACTGGAAAAATGCTGGAGCCAGTATCTGGCCTGCCCAGAAGGTAAGAGAGGTGAAGGATAGGGTCTGTCACTAGTGACAGCTGGGCAGGGATCCGAAACGCTGGAACGTGGCAATGGCGACCATTTCCTAGGCACCCAGAAAGGAGTGTGTGTGTCTAACTTGCAAAGCGGGGAGGAAGGAGGTATGAAAGTGACCGCCCTCCCCCTCCAGCAGGACTGAGAAAGTTTCCTTTAAACTCCTGGCAGATATCAGTGGGCTTCTGCACTCGGTAACCCTCCTGGCCCACTTGACCAGTGACACCATTGTTCATGGCAGCACCACCTGCCTTAGAGCCCCACCAGAGCCTGCCGACTGTAAGTACCAGGGTGAGGGGCCACCACCACAGCACGGGGAGCAGGGGGCCTTTAAAAGTCTCTGTCGCCTTGCCTCTGCAGCTCTGACCGAGGCCTGTAAGCAGTATGGCAGGGAGACCCTCACCTATCTGTCTTTCCTGGAGGAAGAAGGAATCGTCGAGAATGCCGACAGCACAGCCATGAGGAGCTGCCTCACCAGGATCACAGCCATTGGCGAGGTATCATCAGTGTTATCCCTGGGGAAAGTCGTTTTTTGGTATGAGTGCTGGGGATTTCTTCAGGGATCAGTGATGTTCCAAGCCAGTTCTTTCTGTACTTTAAACTTGATTCTGGAAAGTAGAGTTAGAACTGTAAAACTTGACCTTCTGAATGACTTTCCAGTTGTATTTAATTCACTGGATAGTAATTGAGAATCTTCTGTGTGATCATCACTGTGCTGAGCAGTGTCCAAGAAGGATGAGCACAGTTTTCCTGTTTTCAAGGGTTTTTATCTGGCTGGGCAGGTAACACCTAAAATGAAGATAATATATTTATTCACTCAATAAAGATGTAGTGAGTATGACCTGTGTACAGGGAATTGTGCCAGGTGTAGTTCTACAGGGACAAATAGGTCCCCTGGGGAAGGTATGGTCTCCCTGGGGAAGAAAAATAAGGAAATCAACCTTTCTAAATTTAAATTTTATCTTTGGCTGCGTTGCGTCTTAGTTGCAGGGTCTTAGTTGCGGGATCTACGTTGAGGCATGCAGGATCTTTCATTGCGGCACATGGGCTCTTCGTTGCAGCACGCGGGCTTCTCTCTACTTGTGGCACATGGGCTCCAGAGCATGTGGGCTCTGTAGTTTGTGGCACACGGGCTCTCTAGTCGTAGTGCGCGGGCTCAGTAGTTGTGGCACGTGGGCTTAGTTGCCCCGTGGCGTGTGGGATCTTAGTTCCCTGACCAGGGATTGAACCTGGGTCCCCTGCATTGAAAGGTGGATTCTTAACCACTGGACCATCAGGGGAGTCCTGGAAATCAACCATTTCTATACAGTGTGATACAGATCTATTTAAGGAGTACACTGCAAGGCAGCTTCTAATTCCTAGAATAGTAGGAATATTACCACCTAAAATAGTGGGAATGATAAATTCAGAGTAGGAAGAGACCAGGGCCAGAGGTCATATCCTCATCATCTCTCATTCGAACTCCACCAAGTGGCTTGCAGGATCTTAGTTTGCCGACCAGGGATCCAACCCATGGCAATGAAAGCACAGAGTCCTAACCACTGGACTGCCAGGGAATTCCCTCATCTGAATTTATTTTAATTAATTAATTTTATTTATTTATTTTTGGCTGCGTTAGGTCTTCGTTGCTGCACGCAGGCTTTCTCTAGTTGCGGCGAGCAGGGGCTACTCTTCGTTGCAGTGCGCAGGCTTCTCATCGCGGTGGCTTCTCTTGTTGCGGAGCATGGGCTCTAGGCGCATGGGCTTCAGTAGTTGTAGCACGTGGGCTCAGTAGTTGTGGCTCACGGGCTCTAGAGTGCAGGCTCAGTAGTTGTGGTGCACGGGCTTAGTTGCTCCACGGCACGTGGGATCTTCCTGGACCATGGCTCGAACCCGTGTCCCCTGCATTGGCAGGTGGATTCTTAACCACTGTGCCACCAGGGAAGCCCTGAAGGTGTTTTTAAAGTACCTCCCAAGCAGCAAATACAGTCAGTGCTGCACAATGGTGGGGTCAGGGTCTGAGCAGCTGCAACTGAATGGCTTTGTGTGGGGTTCGACAGGGATGGCCTTCTGGAAAGAGGTGGGTTTTGAGTGAGAATAGAGGTGGGAGGAGTGTGGAGCTGCAGAGCTCATGTGGTAGAGAGTTCCAGACAAGTCCCACCACAGCGTGCAGAAGTGTGTTACGTGGTGGGACCCTCCTACCTTCTGCCGTCATGTGGGGGTTACCTGTCTACCACGGGAGGGTAGAAAGGAGGTCAAAGGGTCATTTCCGCCTTCGTGATGCTGTTCACAGGAGCTCCTGCCCAGAGGCCTGGACATCAAACAGGAGGAACTGGGGGACCTGGTGGACAAAGAGATGGCTGCCACTTCCGCTGCCATTGAAACCGCTACGGCCAGAATAGAGGTATGGAAGTCTCTGCAGGATCACCTAAAGTGATGCTGTGCAACTACCTTTTGGCAACATTGCCCGCTGGGTATATCTTAGCCGTTCTCTGCAGAGCCCCCTATAAAACAAACCAAAACCCAAATCCCCTGGGATCTCTGAGTTACAGAAAATAGAAAGTTCTCCAAAGGAAGATGAGCAGTTTCCTCAAGGATCACATACTTTGGTGTCAGGCCATCCTACATTCAAGTTCCAGACTGACCGCTGAGTTACGTTAACCCCACTAAGATTCGGATTCCGTTTCTATGTGATGGTGATGATAACAGTACCTTCCTCAGAGGGGTGTTGTAAAGAGCTCAGTGAGGTAATGCACATGGATCTCGGTGCCAGGCACTCAGTAAACCAACTACTGTAACTGTTGTCTCAGGAAAAGCTGAGCGGGCACCATTGGAAAGGTCACATGTTACTCCTTTGATGGAAGACTCAGGCCACCTGCCTTGGTGTGCTGCCTGCCTCGAGGACCTGGTAGCAGCTGCCCCTGTGGGCATGGTGCCGTAGCTCTCAGAGTTCTGTGCACATCAGCCCAGGTGCCAAAATGTCAAGACACAGACTGTAGCTCCAGCTGCCTCCCACTGAATAGATCGGAGGTCTGGGTTCTTTTCCTGACTCTCACAAGGACATGGGTGGGCACTTCTAGGTTTCTCAGCTACTGCAGGATGTTGGACCCCAGGTGTAGCAGGACACCAGTGGGTTCTCAGTACCTGTGATGTACTGAGAAACTCTGCTTCTTTTTTAATAGGAGATGCTCAGCAAATCCCGAGCTGGAGACACAGGAGTTAAATTGGAGGTGAATGAAAGGTCAGTCTGAGCGGCGTGGTGACACCTAGGTGATCAGGATCTGTCTTTCCTGCACTGGATCATACTGATTAGAATAGAACCTTAGCCACCACAGGGAAGGGCTGAGTCTATGGAATTGTCAGTATCAGTATTAATGATGACCATGATATCAATATTGCATTATAGGGGAAAGAAACCCCAAGAATCACTACTTACCTATTCCTTATGAAGAAGATCCACAATCAAGTGTCCTCTCTCACCCACCTTTCCTTCAGAGCTTCCCCTCCGAATATTCCCTGCCTTTTTTCCCATCCCAAGTTTGCGTGTGTTCAGGAGAGAAAAAGAAAACAAGTCTTCTGCATTGTTTTTGGTCTCTGTTTTGTGTCCCTGACTTTTTTGTTGTTGTTTTTGCTTGTTGCAGGATCCTTGGCTCCTGTACCAGCCTAATGCAGGCTATTAAGGTCCTGATCGTGGCCTCAAAGGAGCTCCAGAGAGAGATAGTGGAGAGTGGCCGGGTAAGCATGGGTGAGGGCCCTAGACAGAGCAAACATCGGTTACTGATTCCCAGCTCAGTGAGAGGTGGAGTCTACTTGATACACATTCAGTGAGGTCTAGGTGTGCTGCCATCCAGCCATATGCGTCCACCTGAGGGCACAGCTGCCACTCCCATGGACGTCAACAAATGCTATGGAAAGAAGCTGGGGCATGGTCAGGTCCCCGGAGGGCAGTCGGCCAGAGCCTCCAGCGGCAGGCCTATTCACCCCAGTGGATGTCACTGGAACCTGCCATGGAAGCCCAGTGTGCATTGCAAGTCTGGACTCTCGGGGGAGGGAGTGAGGACTTTTAAAACCAGGCAAATCAGAAATGCCAGCCTGGTGCTGACTCTCCACTGTGGGCTCTGCCCGTGTCTCTTTCTGTGCATGCGGGATCTTAGTTCCCCTACCAGGGATCGAACCCGCACCCCCTGCAGTGGAAGCGCAGGGTCTTAACCACCGGACTGCTGGGGAAGTCCCTGCCATGTCTCTTTCCAACAGCAGTTAACTCACAGTGATTCAGACAGACTCTGCCTCCGTCCCTTGTTGACATCGTCACTTCAGTTTTCTTGCTCCTTTGCTGGCGTCATCAGCCTCTTTTTTCCTTTCTCACATGCCCGTGTGCGGCTGCAGCTCAGGAGACAAAGGTCCAGAGGGGGAGCTATGAGCCTAAAAACAATCCTATAAAGAACGAATACCATTTACCACGTGATGTTACAGTGAAATGACTGCCAGCCTTCTAGGAAGCAGGGTCTCATCAAAAGTAAAATCTGCCAGCACCCGGAGTTTGAACTTCTCAGGTTCCAGAATTGTTTAACATTTTGATGAGTAAAATGTATCTGGCTCATCATAAATGTATGGCGGAGTAGAAGGACGTGCGCTCACTCCCTCTTGTGAGAACACCAGAATCACGACTAGCTGCTGGACAGTCATCGGCAGGAAGACACTGGAACTCACCAGAAAGATCCCCACATCCAAAGACAAAGGAGAAGCCACAGTGAGACAGCAGGAGGGGCGCAATCACAGTAAAATCAAATCCCATAACTGCTGGGTGGCTGACTCACAGACTGGAGAACACTTATACCACAGAAGTTCACCCACTGGAGTGAAGGTTCTGAGCCCCACGTCAGGCTTCCCAACCTGGGGGTCCGGCAACAGGAGGAGGAATTCCTAGAGAATCAGACTTTGAAGACTAGTGGGATTTGACTGCAGGACTTCGACAGGACTGGGGGAAACAGAGACTCCGCTCCTGGAGGCCACACACAAAGTAGTGTGTGCATCAGGACCCAGGGGAAGGAGCAGTGACCCCAGGCGAGACGGAACCAGACCTACCTGCTGGTGTTGGAGGGTCACCTGCAGAGGCGGGGGGTGGCTGTGGCTCACCATGGGGACAAGGACACTGGCAGCAGATGTTCTGGGAAGTACTCCTTGGCGTGAGCCCTCCCAGAGGCTACCGTTAGCCCTACCAAAGAGCCCAGGTAGGCTCCAGTGTTGGGTCACCTCAGGCCAAACAACCAACAGGGAGGGAACCCAGCCCCACCCATCAGCAGTCAAGCAGATTAAAGTTTTACTGAGCTCTGCCCACCAGAGCAACAGTCAGCTCTACCCACCACCAGTCCCTCCCATCAAGCCTCTTAGATAGCCTCATCCACCAGAGGGCAGACAGCAGAAGCAAGAAGAACTACAATCCTGCAGCCTGTGGAACAAAAACCACATTCACAGAAAGATAGACAAGATGAAAAGGCAGAAAAGGCAGAGGGCTATGTACCAGATGAAGGAACAGCTCTACAACAAATGCTAAAGGAACTTCTCTAAGTGGGAAACACAAGAGAAGAAAAGGACCTACAAACACAAACCCAAAACAATTAAGAAAATGGTCATAGGAACATACATATCAATAATTACCTTAAACGTGAATGGATTAAATGCTCCAACCAAAAGACACAGGCTTCATGAATGGATACAAAAACAAGACCCATATATATGCTCTGTACAAGAGACCCATTTCAGACCTAGGGATACATACAGGCTGAAAGTGAGGGGAGGGAAAAAGATACTCCATGCAAATGGAAATCAAAAGAAAGCTGGAGTAGCTATCCTCATATCACATAAAATAGACTTTAAAATAAAGAATGTTACAAGAGACAAGGAAGGACATTACATAATGATCAAGGGATCAATCCAAGAAGAAGATATAACAATTATAAATATATATGCACCCAACACAGGAACACCTCAATACATAAGGCAACTGCTAACAGCTATAAAAGAGGAAATCGACAGTAACACAATAATAGTGGGGGACTTTAACACCTCACTTACACCAATGGACAGATCATCCAAACAGAAAATTAATAAGGAAACAGAAACTTTAAGTGACACAATAGACCAAATAGGTTTAATTGATATTTATAGGACATTCCATCCAAAAACAGCAGATTACAATTTCTTCTCAAGTGCGCATTTAACATTCTCCAGGATAGATCACATCTTGGGTCACAAATCAAGCCTCAGTAAATTTAAGAAAATTGAAAGCATATCAAGCATCTTTTCTGACCATGATGCTATGAGATTAGAAATGAATTACAGGGAAAAAAATGTAAAAAGCACAAGCACATGGAAGCTAAACAATACGTTACTACATAACCAAGAGATCACTGAAGAAATCAAAGAGGAAATCAAAAAATACCCAGAGACAAATGACAATGAAAACACGATGATACAAAACCTATGGGATGCAGCAAAACCAGTTCTAAGTGGGAAGTTTATAGCTATACAAGCCTATCTCAAGAAACAAGAAAAATCTCAAATAATCTAACCTTACACCTAAAGGAACTAGAGAAAGAAGAACAAACAAAACCCAAAGTTAGCAGAAGGAAAGAAATCATAAAGATCAGAGCAGGAATAAATGAAAGAGAAACAAAGAAAACAGTAGCAAAGATCAGTAAAAGTAAAAGCTGGTTCTTTGAGAAGATAAACAAAATTGATAAACCATTAACCAGACTCATCAAGAAAAAGAGGGAGAGGACTCAAATCAATAAAATTAGAAATGAAAATGGAGAAGTTACAACTGACACCACAGAAATACAAAGCATCCTAAGAGACTACTACAAGCAACTCTATGCCAATACAATGGACAACCTAGAAGAAATGGACAAATTCTTAGAAAGGTATAACCTTCCAAGAGTGAACCAGGAAGAAATAGAAAATATGAACAGACCAATCACAGGTAATGAAATTGAAACTGTGATTAAAAATCTTCCAACAAACAAAAGTCCAGGACCAGATGGCTTCACAGGTAAATTCTATCAAACATTTAGAGACGAGCTAATGCCCATCCTTCTCAAACTCTTCCAAAAAATTGCAGAGGAAGGAACACTCCCAAACTCATTCTGTGAGGCAACCATCACCCTGATACCAAAACCAGACAAAGATACTACAAAAAAAGAAAATTACAGACCAATATCACTGATGAATATAGATGCAAATATCCTCAACAAAACACTAGCAAACAGAATCCAACAACACATTAAAAGGATCATACACCATGATCAAGTGGGATTTATCCCAGAGATGCAAGGATGCTTCAATATACGCTAATCAATCAATGTGATACACCATATTAACAAACTGAAGAATAAAAATCATATGATCATCTCAATAGATGCAGAAAATGTTTTTGATAAAATTCAACACCCATTTATGATAAAAACTCTCCAGAAAGTGGGCATAGAGGGAACCTACCTTAACATAATAAAGGCCACATATGACAAACCCACAGCAAACATCATTCTCAATGGTGAAGAACTGAAAGCATTTCCTCTAAGATCAGGAACAAGACAAGGATGTCCACTCTCACCACTATTATTCAACATAGTTTTGGAAGTCCTAGCCACGGCAATCAGAGAAGAAAAAGAAATAAAAGGAATACAAATTGGAAACGGAGAAGTAAAACTGTCACTGTTTGCAGATGACGTGATACTATACATAGAGAATCCTAAAGATGCCACCAGAAAACTACTAGAGCTAATCAATGAATTTGGGAAAGTTGCAGAATACAAAATTAATGCACAGAAAGCTCTTGCATTCCTGTACACTAATGATGAAAAGTCTGAAAGAGTAAATAAGGAAACACTCCCATTTACCATTGCAACAAAAAGAATAAAATACCTAGGAATAAACCTATCTAGGTTTATTTTGTATGAATAAACATACAAAAGTCCTGTATGCAGAAAACTATAAGACACTGATGAAAGAAATTCAAGATGATACCAACAGATGGAGAGATATACCATGTTCTTGGATTGGAAGAATCAATATTGTGAAAATGACTCTACTACCCAAAGCAATCTACAGATTCAATGCAATCCCTATCAAATTACCAATGCCATTTTTTACGGAACTAGAACAAAAAATCTTAAAATTTGTATGGAGACACAAAAGACCCCGAATAGCCAAAGCAGTCTTGAGGGAAAAAAACGGAGCTGGAGGAATCAGACTCCCTGACTTAAGACTATACTACAAAGCTACAGTAACCAAGACAATATGGTACTGGCACAAAAACAGAAACATAGATCAATGGAACAAGATAGAAAGCCCAGAGATAAACCAACACACCTGTGGTCAACTAATCTATGACAAAGGAGGCAAGGATATACAATGGAGAAAAGACAGTCTCTTCAATAAGTGTTGCTGGGAAAACTGGACAGCTACATGTAAAAGAATGAAATTAGAACACTCCCTAACACCATACACAAAAATAAACTCAAAATGGATTTGAGACCTAAATGTAAGACCAGACCCTATAAAACTCTTCGAGGAAAACATAGGAAGAACACTCTTTGACATAAATCACAGCAAGATCCATTTTGACCCACCTCCTAGAGAAATGGAAATAAAAACCAAAATAAATAAAAGGGACCTAATGAAACTTCAAAGCTTTCGCACAGCAAAGGAAACCATAAACAAGATGAAAAGACAACCCTCAGAATGGGAGAAAATATTTGCAAACGAATCAACGGACAAAGGATTAATCTCTAAAACATGTAAACAGCTCATGCAGCTCATTATTAAAGAAACAACCAAATCCAAAAATGGGCAGAAGACCTAAGTAGACATTTCTCCAAAGAAGACATACAGATGGCCAAGAAGCACATGAAAAACTGCTCAACATCACTAATTATGAGCGAAATGCAAATCAAAACTACAATGAGGTATCACCTCACACCAGTTTGAATGGGCATCATCAAAAAGTCTACAAACATCAAATGCTGGAGAGGGTATGGAGAAAAGGGAACCCTCTTGCACTGTTGGCGAGAATGTAAATTGATGCAGCCACTATGGAGAACAGTATGGATGTTCCTTAAAAAACTAAAAGTAGAATTACCATATGATCCAGCAATTCCACTACTGGGCATATACCCAGAGAAAACCATAATTCAAAAAGACACATGCACCCCAATGTTCATTGCAGCACTATTTACAATAGCCAGGTCATGGAAGCAACCTAAATGCCCATCGACAGACGAATGGATAAAGAAGGTGTGGTACATATATACAATGGAATATTACTCAGCCATAAAAAGGAACGAAATTGGGTCATTTGTTGAGACGTGGATGGATCTAGAGACTGTCATACAGGGTGAAGTAAGTCAGAAAGAGAAAAACAAATATTGTATATTAACGCATATATGTGGAACCTAGAAAAATGGTACAGATGAACCGGTTTGCAGGGCAGAAGTTGAGACACAGATGTAGAGAACAAACATGTGGATACCAAGGCGGGAAAGCTGTGGGAGGGTGGGGATGGTGGTGTGATGAATTGAGCGATTGGGATCGACATGTATACACTGATGTGGATAAAACTGATGACTAATAAGAACCTGCTGTATAAAAAAATAAGTAAAATTAAATTTAAAAACAAAAGAACAGAGCTATATCTGCTTTGGTGGCGCTTTTTATCAGTCCGAGAGGTGATGTTTTCTGCCCCCAAAATAGAAGGAGGGACTGAGCAAGGAGTATCTGTAGATTCTCAGACTGTCAGGTACTTCTGAAGCATAAAAGCATTTTAAAATTCCAAGTAGGAATTATTATATTTTTCTTTCAGTTTTATTGAGATATAATTGACACACAGCGCTGTATCAGTTTAAGGTGTACAACATAACGCTTTGACTTAACGCATATGAAGCGATTATCCCAGTAAGTTTAGTGAACAACCGTCATCTCTTATAGATACAAAATGAAAGAAAGAAAACAAGTTTTTTCCTTGTGATGAGAACTCTTAGGATTTAGTCTCAGTATCTTTCATGTATAACATACAGCAGTGTTCATTATATTTTTCATGTTGTACATTACATCCCTAGTACTTATTTATAACTGGAAGTTACACCTTTTGTCTCCCTTCCTCCAATTCCCTCCCCCACCCCTCAGCAATTATTTTTTTAATCACTCACTGTGTGCTCACTGTCCTCTTTTGGTAGATCACAGAGAGTGGCTAGACTCCCCTCAGATCATAAGTTATTTGTGTATACATATAAATAATATATATATTCTTATATATACAATATAGAGATATTGGGATGTGATAGAAATGCTACAGGCTTTGGAGTCAGAAAAGCCTAGGATTTATTTCCATTTATTTCCTGCATATCCTTAGGGAAAGTATTTTTGACTCTCTGAATCTTAGTTTTCTCATCTTTAAAAATGGGAATAATAATGCTCACCCCTCGGGGTTACTGTGAAGACTGCATGGGATAATATATAGAAAAGCACCTGGCACATAGTAGGCACACGATAAAAGATAGCTAATAGTATTTTTCACTTCCCTAGGGTACAGCATCCCCTAAAGAGTTTTATGCCAAGAATTCTCGATGGACGGAAGGACTTATCTCGGCCTCTAAAGCTGTGGGCTGGGGAGCCACTGTCATGGTGTAAGTATCCATCCGTCCCAAGGCTGCTCACTTCACCCTGCTTTCCAATGATCCACCCCAGAGAACAACTAAGGGGAAGAATCTTCCCCCTAGAAATGAACTGTTGATAGGGAAGTTAATAGGACTGAAAGTTTAAAAGGGAGTCTGGGTCTGAATATAAAGAAGATGTGGTACATATATACAATGGAATATTAGCCATAAAAAGGAACGAAACTGGGTCATTTGTAGAGACGTGGATGGTCCTAGAGACTGTCATACAGAGTGAAGTAAGTCAGAAAGAGAAAAACAAATATTGTATATTCACGCATATATGTGGAATCTAGAAAAATGGTACAGATGAACTGGTTTGCAAGGCAGAAATAGAGACACAGATGTAGAGGACAAACGTATGGACACCAAGGGGGGAAAGCGGGGGGTGGTGGTGGTGGGATGAATTGGGTGATTGGGATTGACATGTATACACTAATATGTATAAAATAGATAACTAATAAGAACCTGCTGTATAAAAAAAATTAATTTCAAAAAAAAAGGAGTCTGGGTCTCCTGGAGCAACACAGGGGGTGGGGCAGGCTGGCTGAGCTCCCTGTCTGCCAGGGTGATGGGAGTGGTCTAAAGGTGAGGTCATTAGGGGTTGCAGCTGTCAGTTTCATAACCCGTCTGGTTCTCTCCTATCAGGGATGCAGCTGATCTGGTGGTACAAGGCCGAGGGAAATTTGAGGAGCTGATGGTCTGTTCGCATGAAATTGCTGCTAGCACCGCCCAGCTTGTGGCTGCATCCAAGGTAGGACCTGTGTTGGGCTCCCCAGGACACTGTAAGTTCTGACTGGGTTAGAAAATATACCTGGACCATGGCACTGGCCCCAAGAACTGATTATTTATCCAGTATCCAGGTAGGTTGAGTCCCAGATAAAAATTCTGTCTCCAAGGGTCCCTTAAAAGCCTTTCGGCGGGGAGCCCCTCTAACCCACCTCTCCACGTGCATGCCTTTTGTCTTCATCATTTTCATTGCAAGTGGCCTTTAAGGGTCCAGCCATGCCAACCTCTGATGAGCAATCGTACATTCAAGGAGCGCTCAAATAAGGAAAATGCCGGCCCAGTAAGCTGGTTACCTGGCTTGGCTCTGAAGTTCCACAATTAATGTCTGCCTCTCTTCAAAAGGGTCCAAATTTGAACCATTGCCCCAGCTAATCCTAATGCAAAGCTCGTCACCAAAATCCTTCCATGAGTTGTAGAGTTCCCCAGGGAGTGGTTTTTTACTGTCCTTATTTATTGTTGTCCCAAAATAAGTGATAAAGCTAGAGTTCGAGGCCACCAAGCAAATAAGTCAGGAATGATTTTGTTTTTAATTTATTTATTTAATTTATTTATTAATTTTGGCTGTGTTGGGTCTTCGTTGCTGAGTGCGGGCTTCCTCTAGTTGCAGCGAGCTGGGGCTACTCTTCATTGTGGTGCGTGGGCTTCTCACTGCAGTGGCTTCTCTTGTTGCGGAGCACAGGCTCTAGGCACACGGGCTTCAGTAGTTGTGGCTCGCGGGCTCCAGTAGTTGTGGTTCGCGGGCTTCAGTACTTGTGGCTCGCGGGCTTCAGTAGTTGTGGCTTGCAGGCTCTAGAGCGCAGGCTCGGTAGTTGTGGCACACGGGCTTAGTTGCATGTTCCCTGTGTTCCCTGCATTGGCAGGTGAATTCTTAACAACTGCGCCACCAGGGAAGCCCCAGAAATGATTTTTGATATTAGAGAGAGATGCCAGGAGTTGACCCCCTAGGTAGCGATTTTTGAGAAGTTGATTGGTGACCACAGCAGAGCCCATATATTTGTCAAGAACCATCAGACCGAGTATCTGATTCCATCCTTGCTGCTCTATGTTGTGTGACACTAAATCTGCTTGGTCCTGGCAGGTGAAAGCTGATAAGGACAGCCCAAACCTGGCCCAGCTGCAGCAGGCCTCTCGGGGCGTGAACCAGGCCACCGCCGCAGTTGTGGCCTCAACCATTTCTGGCAAATCACAGATCGAGGACACAGGTAGCCTTTCAGAAGCAATGCTTTTCTCATCCATCCTATGTGGCTGCTCATTACATTCTTCTCCACGATTCCGATTTCCCACAGTCCTGTTTCCAAATTCTGTCTTATTTTTCATCTTTGTACATTCAAACTTACCTTCTCAAAAGTTGAGACACCACATAAGCATGCTATTGATCACTCTAGGGACAGGCCTTAGCTAGATTTTCCATTTAGCTATTTCTCTGAATTCAGAGAAATGACTCCGCAGGCCTGATTGTCCATTGGGGTGGGGTCTGACCCTAGTTACCCTGTCATTGTCTTCCTCCCTCTCCACCCCTCACTTACATTCACGCGTATGTTGGTAAATGACAAACCAAGCATTTCAGCAGAGCGTTGGCACCGGCCACCTCTCAGGTAAGTGTCAGCTGGGGTGTCATTCGACAAGACCCTCCTATTTCCATCATTGCAGACAGCATGGACTTCTCAAGCATGACGCTGACCCAGATCAAACGCCAGGAGATGGATTCCCAGGTAGGAACTCCATCTCTAAGTCTGGTCAGACTCCATTGCCTATGACACTGACCCCACATATTATTCCCATGGGGAGAAGTCAGAGAGAAACTCGCAGGGGAAATGAACACAGAGGTACATATCACCCCAAGAATGAACAGTAAGTGATGCTGGAAGAAACAGCGGTGGTGGACAGAGGTCATTGGTAAAGATCAGAATCTTAACTCTTGCCCACCCGTCTTGGTCTGGCATCGCTCAAAATGTCATCAGCTCTCTCCTAAGCGGACCATAAACTGGTACTTAATAGTCTTATAATGACAATTTTTTGAAAACTTTCAATATGAATTATTTGTATATGACCTTCAGGTTTTTTTTTTAAAAAGGTCAATCCACTGTTAACCCATCAAAGGCGATGCCATTTCTCAGTTTTAGTAAAGTTATCCCATGCAAAATAGGATCCTGGAGAATACCCGACATCCTTGTTCTAGAATTTCCGGTCACAGTCCTGGGGTAAAGTCCAGCTTGAGACTGGTGAAGTCTATACTCAGCATTTTTAGGAAAAGTCATGTGCCAGGTGTCTGTAGACACTGAAAGAACTGGGCTCAGTTCTGTTGTCTCTGCTGAGCTACTGCAGAAGCAACTTACCTACATCGTATGCAAGTATGTGTTTTAGAATTATCCCATGGCGGGGCAGGGAGAACAGGAAAGAGTATTGCTGAGACAAGTCTGGCCACGAGTTGGTAGTTGATGGAGCAACATGAAAGGTATATGGTGGGGTTCACTGTACCAGTCTCCATCCTTCTGTATATGTTTTACATTTTCCATAATAAAAAGTTTAAAAAGCAAAAAAAAAAAACCACCTTACTGGGTCTAGTTGCTTCCACTCTGCCCATCTTCAATGCATTCAGCCTCAACATATTGTAAAAATGTAAATGATGACATGTCAGTTCCCTGCTTAAAAGCTTCCTCTGGCTTCCTTTGGACTTGGAGTAATACCCAGACTCCTTCCCCTGGCCCGTGGGCCGCAGGCGTAACGATCCTTGCCTATTGCTCCAACCTCACCTCATGACTCTCTCCCGGTCAAAAGTTACTTCCTGAGAGTAGCCTTTGCTGCCCACCCTTAGTCTTTATCACTAAGTCGCCCTGTGTCATTTGCTTCATGATCAGGTCTTTTCTTGTTCATTAGTTTGTCTCATCCCACCATGAGGTAAGGGGTTAGCAGGTAAGCAGGGACCTTGGCTGTCTGAGCACCACTGTGTCTCCAGCACCTGTAACAGAGCCTGGGGTCCATTATGGGAGCTCAGCAAATATTTCTTGCAGCAATAAATAAAATAATTAATGAGGAGGAGGAATAGCCAAGAACCAACCCTTCCTTTAGTGAGATTGTACCTTTTCCTGCACAATAGTTATACCAACCCCTCAAAAATGCCAGAACCATTGTATTTGGTTCCTGTCTAGACTTCCAGAGAACTGGGGTTGAAGGAGATGGGTTACAACTGGATTAGAATGTATCGTATAGGTAGACTAAACATTAGAGTTGTCCTTTTCTTTCCATTTTTTCTCTTTTTATTTATTGAAATAGAGTCGACGTACACTGTTACATTAGTTTCAGATGTACTACATAGTGATTTGACATTTGCATACATCACGAAAAGTCTAGTGACCATCTGTCTCCATACAAAGTTATTACAATAATACTGACCATATTCCTTACGCTGTATCTTATATCCTTGTGACTTATTTATTTTATAACTGGAGGTTTGTACCTCTTAATCCCCTTCACATATTTCACCCCCCTCAACCTCCCCTCCACTCTGTCAACTACCTGTTTATTCTCTGTATCTGTGAGTCTCTTTTCATGTTATTTTGTTTTTTAGATTCCACATTTAGGTGAGATCATATGGTATTTGTCTTTCTATGACTTACATCACTTTTCAAAATACCTTCTAGATCCATCCATGTTGTTGCAAATGGCAAGATTTTTCATTTTTTTTAGTAGCTGAGTAGTATGTTTTTAGTTAGTGATTTATCAGAGGAACGTAAGATAAGCCCTACTCCCATTTAGGCATTTGGACCGTAAAGTATCATTCATTTCCAGTAGAGGGTCCCAGTGAGAAAGCATAAAAGCCATTAGGATAGATGGATGAACGAGAGGATGGAGAAATTAGAGCAGAGACAAGGGTGAAATTGAGGACTGGGTAAGCTATGGATAACATGGACGACGAGTCCTGAACCACAGAGGAAAGGGATTAGGTTGACATGAGACCGTTCTCAGGTCCCTGCTCAAAGCAAAGGCCACTTTCCCCACAGGTTAGGGTGCTGGAGCTAGAAAACGAACTGCAAAAGGAGCGTCAAAAACTGGGAGAGCTTCGGAAAAAGCATTACGAGCTCGCTGGTGTTGCCGAGGGCTGGGAAGAAGGTGAGCCAAGGACTGGCACAGCCCCCAGGGAGGGAGGTGGGGGGATGCTGTGGGCCTCCCCCTCCCATACAGCGGAACCAGGAACTTCTCCCTCCTCCCGTCTATTCACAGGGCATCTTTTTTTTTTGCGCGTGGTATGTGGGCCTCTCACTGTTGTGGCCTCTCCCGTTGCGGAGCACAAGCTCCGGACGCGCAGGCTCAATGGCCATGGCTCACGGGCCCAGCCGCTCCACGGCGTGTGGGATCTTCCCGGACCGGGGCACGAACCCGCGTCCCCTGCATCGGCAGGCGGACTCTCAACCACTGCGCCACCAGGGAAGCCCTCACAGGGCATCTTTTTTCTCCAGTGGTGAATAACCCATAAGCCCCAAACTGGTGGTGAATAGAAAGCTTTTGTGGTCATCTTTCAAGACCTGAATGTTGACCAGTGGACTGAATGGTCACTCACTCACACCATTGCCTTCCAGACCCAGTTAGCCTGGTTTTTCTCCCCAGGAGTTTAGTTTCAGGCCAGCATCAAGTTGAGTAGTGAATGAATGAATAGTGGTCAGTGAAGGTCCAGCAGACAGGGCAAGTGAGTTCTAAGCTTCTGGCTGCCTAGAGCCAGCTATGGGTAGCAATGGCGAGAGACAGCAAGGGTCAGGAGCTAGAAACAGTGTGGAGTGGAGAAAGGTTCACCCCACCAGCCCAGGGACTCTTGGTCGCCCGGAGTCTGTGCTGGCTGCTTTTCTGAACATCCAAAGTGGCCAACTTGATCACAACCAAGATCGTGATTCTCACTGGGCTCACTGACTCTGGGAACCCAGCACAGATGCCGCCCAGTCATTCCTGGACACTTGACCCAGGGAATAGGTGGTCATGATTATGTATTTTAGAGCCCAGCCTGGCGGCCGTTTCTGCTGGCTAGATGAATGTGTGCGTGCACCAGACACTGTGAAACATAAGCGACTATTGTCTTTTAGGAACAGAAGCATCACCACCTACACTGCAAGAAGCGATCACCGAGAAGGAATAGAGTCACACCGACGTCCCACAGGTCAGAGTGTAAATCCTTGTTGCCCATCTGTGTGTGTGTGTGATTCCCCCAGTCACGGGCCAGCCCCTGGGAGTGCACGCCACGCCCATCATCCAGTGCTAAGGACCTGCCCCGCCTTCCAAAGACTCCCTCCACAGCCCATGATCTGTGTTCTTTCACTCCTCCCCCACCGCCAAGAAGAGGGGAGCCCAGGGCCACCCCGACGGAGGGGACCTCCCTCCCGGTCCTGCCTGTTTTACCCCCAAACAGTTGGTGTCCTTGTTGGGGGGTGGGGTGGGAGGCTTGTTGCTACTGCTGTTGAGCTGGAGAGCGAAGATCTTACGCGTTTTCTTTTCTGTTTTCTTCTCAGCCTTTTCCGTTTCATCATTTGCACAAGCTTATGAACACCGGGGGACTGGTGGATTCCAAACCGTGACCCGACCCTGAGGCTGCACGGAGTCGGAAGAAGAGCAGAAGTGTCCTGGCTGAGAATGCCAAGGCAGTGCCCCCCTCTTTTGGCAGTTCCATGGATTCCCACTGCTTCTTATGGTGGTCGGGTCTTTTTTTCCCCAAGTTTCACTCACATAGCCAACACTCCCAGGGGATCGCCCCTGAAGCCCTGAGCTATTGGGGGCCCCTAACCACAGCAGCTCACAGCAATGGTGCTGCCTAGGCTTCGCCACGGTGCTCCCCGCCGGCCCCCCGAGCCGAGTGTCCTGCTGAGCAAGTGTGGGTCGGCCGAGGCCACTCCCCAGGGCCGGGCGGAAGGAGAGCGAGTGCCTTGCCTTCTAAAGCTGGAGCCCAGCCGAAAGCCTCTGCCCACCTTCACAAGTGAGGGGCGACAGAGAGAGGGAGAGGAAGGGTGCACACAGCCCAGGTCTTCAGGAGACCACCTTTCTTGGAAACTCCTTGTGACCGGGCTGAAAAGCCTTATCCCATGCTTGAACCCAGCCGGTGAGAGTAGCCACACTTCCTCCCCCCGGAAGGAATCTTCCATGGCCCCTCAGTTGACACCTCCCTTCATACCCAGGCAGGGCCCTAAGAGGGAACACGTGAGGGGTTTCCAATCCCTTTCTCCAAATGTCTGCCTTGGCACCCTCTTGAATCTCAAGAAGGTAGTTCCATGTTCTACCTAATGGACAGACCCAGAAGATCAGGCCAACTTACTTGCTCCCAGCAGGAAAGACCCTGGGCTTGGTTTGGTACCTTGAATATTCTGACTAATCTCCATTAGCAGCAGTGCTGGCAGCAACCAGGATTTCAGGTGTGACTATGGCTAGGCTTGCGTTGCTGCCTGAGTACATCCGTCTTTAAGAATCGGAAACAAGACCTAGAGGCCATCCCGATCTGTCGTTGCCGGTTTGGGTCTTGAAGAGGAAAGCTCCTCAGAGCATCGGGGTCAGGGAAAACAAGAGAGGGGGACCACTGGCTCTGACCCCTTCCAACCACACATCCCGGGCCCTGGCTGCCTCGCGGACAGGATGAGGACAGAAGGAGCTTGAACGATGTCCTGGAGATGGGCAGCCCGCCAGCACTTCTTCACCTCCAGATGGACCCCAGCATTTAAGTGACCTTCCCATCTTGGACAAACAATGTCTTCCTTCCTTTATCTGTAGCAATTCATAGGTAGTAGCCAACAAGCACTTCCCAGGACCTGTCCCCAAGGACCATTGCTGAGTGTTGCTACGTGACAGGTTGTGAGACTCCCTTTTGATCACTGTGAATCAACTCTCTCTCCTTCCTAAGCCCCCACCGCCAACTCCCTTTCTCTGCATTTTCTCACTAGGGCACTCAAAAACCTGTGTCCCATGAGCTCAGATTATGAGACTCAGATGTGTGATCTCCATACTGGGCTGACAAGGCAGCAGCAGTAGAAACTGACCGGTCTTATGTTTACTGCTTCTTTGTGCTCAACTATTTTTCCACCCAAGCCTCAGAAGGAATGATGTGTAGCATCCCTGGCCCAGCTGTGCCTATTAAGCCAACTGGTGTGTTCTCAGCCATGGGTCAACACTTCCAAACGTGGCTGGTCCTCACTTCCAGAATCTCAGCCATTCAGACTATTGTGCTCCAAATTACCGATGGGGGGAAATCTAGTATGTGGGACCAGATTAGGATTCCCTGAGTAACACTCCCTCTAAAAAGAAGCCACAGTAATTTTTAAAACCTTCATGGGCTTCTCCGGAGTAATAAGACAGTTAAGAAAGCACTTAAACAGGAACACAGGCTAATTCAGTCTCACATGAGGAAATATATGTCAGAATTAGTATAATTACTTTTATAATCGCTTGACTCAGAAGCTAGTCCATTCTCTAGCCCAAATCAAAATGTCGTACCTTGGCTACTCTAAAAATGAGCGTGTTATCCTGGGTGTGAAATGCCTTGGTTAAAACAGGAATCACATCCTCAGGCTAAAAATGAACCTCACAGCCTTTTAAATTAGTCACTGAGCATCATTCGTGACTTGAGTCTCATGGGTCAGTGTGAATGGGTCAGAGCAAGGCAGGACAGCAATGAAGTGATGCCTTAGCGTTGACGAGAGGCCGAAATACAGCCGTATCCATTATTTTAATTGTGTAGCACAGTGTCTCATATCTCTAGAGTAAGGATATGAGTGTACATAATAAGGAAAAAACATTGAAGGAAAGACCTACCTCTGTGGGGTTATTTATATCTGAGCACGGAGTTTAAATGAGACTCGAATTTAGATTGTTTGCTGATTCTGCTGCCCACAACAGGATCCCTAGGATCCTACCTGAATTTGAGTCCCTGACCCAGTGGCTGGAAGAACCATTGTCCACAGCATCCTTTCTTGGAAGTGTCTGAGCTGCCAAGGCAGACAGCAGGGTTTACACCGGGTACCACGGGGATCATGAGCTAATGTCTCCAGTCCGGTTGGTTTGCTTCGGCCTCTCACTGAGGAGCTGGTTTGGGGCTTGCACCTGGGTGGCGCCTGCTTCTTGGCCAGCTCCTTAGTCTAGAGGGATCTCCTGGCTCCACTTACCTTGGTCTTTACCAAGTGGTGATGTTCTTGCTACCTTCTACCACCTTTCTGCGTCTCTGGAAATCCTTTCTGCCAGTGAAAGCCTTCAGTCCTGGCATTGGCCTTCCAACCAGACTGGCTTTGCCCTCTCTCCGCCATCCTCGGTCCTCCAGAGACCGTGCTGCCTGTTGCATAGAAAACCACCACCTCGGGCCTGCCAGCCATCAACACAGCATACCGGGCCAGCTGTCTACTGCTCACATCTCCCAGGTCCAGACCAAAATACAGGATTAGCAACCCACAGTGGCAACTTGGCCTCTCACCCCAGGAGCCAAAGCAACATGAAACAATTGGTCAAACATCGTTGGGTCCGATTCTGAGAGTAGGTGATTTCCAGACATGTCTTTCAGGTGACCCTCAACTACCTCAGGTTTGAAGGCCCTAAATTAGGCTGATTACTACTCACAGGGACAAACTGAGGGGGCTCAGATAAATCTTGGTGATAACGCAATTGTCTCAAACTTATAACAAACTCTTTCACATTTAGGTTTTCAGGGATGGGATTGGGTTTTTTCTTCTGTTTTTAACCTTTTCCCCAATTTTCCATTAGAATAGTTCCTATAAATGAATTTCATTTTTCACTGAGTGCCTACCTTCCCAGGGCAGGTAGCCACTGGCTCTGTTTCCTTCCAACAGTACTTTTATTATGGTATTAAGACTTTTCTTTGTATAATACATTGCATCTGTGTTTTCAATTTTTCAATAAATATTTCAACCTGGCAATGGAGAGGAGTGGTGATAACTGACCAATCAAAGTGGTTTTGAGGTCTGGGGTTTCAGTGAAAAGCCTACATTTATATCCCAAGGTTCACTGAATCCACTTAGCTCTGCACCTCTGGGAATGTGTCTTAAAAACAGGACATTTTCTGAAGCGTAAAACTATTGCATTTCCTATGCTACTTTAGAAAAAAGAAACATTAGTTTGCACCCCTTAGCACTTTTCCATCCTCTGTATCCTCTCGTCCTTGGGAGTGATCAAACAGTGTCTAAGTGTTCAATATAGTACTGTAATTTATCTAGAAGGCCAGGTCACTGCATGAAATCTGGGGTCTTGAGCTATGGATATTCCCTTCCACCCTAAAGATGTAAAAATAATCTGCCATCTGAAAAATGCATGGGGCGAATTCTGCTCGGGGCCAGAAGCTGCCAATCATAAGGGGATTCAGAGCGAGCCAGTCACAGCTACCAGAGGATTTGCAGAGGGAGCTGACAGAATGGGGCCGGCTGCATGGTGACTTTCCCCGGCAGGATCATCTGTAACCTAATGCTGCCAGTGTGTTAAGCCAAGGGGACCAGCCAGGGAGGAAGGGAGATGGGGAAGGCCTGGGGTTGGCAAGCAGGGGAATTGCCCAAATGACTCACAAAGGACAGAGAGAATGAAGCAAGCCATCGGCAGAGTCTGTAACTAAGGAGGTCAAATAATCAGGAAAATAGTGTTGAAAGTGCCCAGTGGGGAAGATGATCTTGATAAATACAGAAAATGGGAAACACTTGCCTACAGCTGTGTTTTTCTGCTCTCTCTAGCAGGATACAAAGGTGAGCCTGCTCCATTTGAAGCCCCACTGATAGAATGGACGGTTCTTGGCCACAGCCCTCTTGCATGTCACTCCTGGAGCTTGAGTGTGAAACTGAGAGGTCCAGAAAGCCAAGCAGAGAACCACCTGGAGCAAACAGGGGCCCCAGGCTTTGAAGTGCCTTCTCCCGAAACCTGCACATGACATTGACCAGGTGCCCCAGAGGCTCTGGTACTTAGCCCCTTAGGGGTCTTTCCGGGGCCCTGTGGCCAGGTCCCAGTTCTAAGAGGGCAGCCTGGGTGGCTGGTCACTCTGGCCAGTGGAGTATTTCTTACAGGGAATCGTGAGATCAGGCCACCAGAATGTTTTATGGCTAACAAGCCGTAAAGAAGGAAGGAGGGGGAGTTAGGGTTTATACAGACAGGAGCCAAATTTGTTTGGGACCTAGGGGTGGCCCTGGCAAAGTGAAAATGAACAAAGGGTTGAAGTGGGCAAGTGGGAGGGTAGCCTAGATGAAATTGAAGCCAAGGGCATATAGCCAAAATATCCTATATACCACACTGTTGTGATTTAAAGCCAGTGAGGTTTAATCTTGGTCACCATGGTTGTACTCAGCCTCTAACACATTACCCAACGTACGTTTAAACATTCTGGAGTGAATGAACTCTTTTTACACCACATTCTTAGTTATACACATATGTTATGCATCCGTTCATTGCACAGGCTCTGAAATTTCCAATGAAGCCTTTCCGTTCCCTGCCCTTACATTAACATACCGATGAGTCATTGTTAAGTGTCTACTCTACCAGGCACTGGGAACACGGTGGAGAGCAAAAATAGACGCAGTCCCGCCTTTCTGGAGCTTACAGGCTATGGGAGGAGACAAATAGGATAATCAAATAATCACAGTAACAACTGTGTAACGACAACTGGAGGAAGTGCAGTAAAGGAACAGGACAGAGTTCTCTGAGAGCATGTAAGGATGCCACTGGGGTGGGGTACAAAGGGAATGTCGTTTTTACCTGGACTGTTTTCTTTTGATGGGGTTCAGGATGTGCTACCCCCAAATATAGCACTTTGGCCTGTGGAATATTTGAAACTGAAGGAAATTGAGAATGGCATATGGAGGAGGGACTTTCTGACCTTCCTCTGAAGCAGATCATGTGAGAGGTGCCCTGCTTGTACCCAGAGGAAAGGAACCTCCTTATCTCCACGTGAGGGATGCCCAGAGGAATCTGAGCAGACCTCGCTGTTTCCCCAGTTTCCTACGCTCAGCTCATGTCCTCTCGTCCTCTCCCATTTTCCCTTAATTCTCCGCTCTTCATCCAATCGAGCATAAACACACTCAGGTGTGACTGCCTCTTTAGGTCTTCCTTCCCTTATGAAGGCTCCCACATCACATAGAACTTACATCAAAGACATTTGTGTGCTTTTCTCTTGTTAGTCTTTTGTTACAAGGGCCCCAGCTGCGAACGTAGAAGGGTAAAGGGAAATGACCTTTTCCCTCTGTTATAGTTTCTGGCAACCACGGAGGGATGGCTGGGACACCTCATTGGCTCTGCGGCCTGTAGACAGGATCCTGGGAAAACTAACCAAAACCAGTGAAAGGTAAGAATGTACTACCAAAGTCAGCTCTCCCGGGTCTCCGTCTGTAGGGCCCAGTTGAGAGAGGAAGGTAAAAAGTATCTCCTTGTCCCTTCCTTTTCAAATTCAGATTAGCACGAGAAAAACATTTGTCAAAATTAATTATTTGGATTGTGGGACTTCCCTGGTGGTCCAGTGGTTAAGACTCTACACTCCCAATGCAGGGGGCCCGGGTTCGATTCCTGGTCAGGGAACTAGATCCCACATGCATGCCCCAACTAAGAAGTCCGCATGCCGCAACTAAAGATCCCATGGGTCACAACGAAGATCCCATGTGCCACAACTAAGACCAGGCACAGCCAAAATAAATAAATATTTTAAAAAAATTATTTGGATTGTGACTCTGGTTGAATTTGGTTTGGGGGGCCCATTGGTTATTGATCTTGCTCTCCTGTTTGTCAGCTCCTGCTTTCCTGTTTGTCTTGTTTGTTTGTTTGTTTTTTCAGTACGCGGGCCTCTCACTGTTGTGGCCTCTCCCGTTGCAGAGCACAGGCTCCAGACGCGCAGGCTCAGCGGCCATGGCTCACGGGCCCAGCCGCTCTGCGGCATGTGGGATCTTCCCGGACTGGGGCACAAACCCGTGTCCCCTGCATAGGCAGGTGGACTCTCAACCACTGCGCCACCAGGGAAGCCCCCTGTTTGTCTTGTTTTGTGTCCTGGGGGCTTGTCTTGGCTTTCCTCCTGCCAAAGCATGAAAATTGTCAGTTCTTGCCTGTGCAGGAGGCCAACCAGCAGGTAGGGTCCCCAAGAATATGGCTGCACAGAAATGTGGGCTGCACCTCATTTGCAGCTAACATCCTACCAATTGTTCCCAGCTCTCTGGGGGAAACAATGATCTTTCTTTCTTTCTTTTGGCTCTCTTTGGGAGTGGCTCCAGATCATAGGAGGACTGCGTACTTGCACCCTCTGTGCGGAGGCCTCTTGTGTCCTCTGTTAAGTCATAAACAGCTTTTACTGGTTTTGGTTTTGAGTCAGTTGGCATAGGTATGACTTTGGTTTTAAAAAAGAAAAAAAGGAGTGGGCAGTGAACACTGCCAGGAATATTTGTTGTTTATCTCAGCTGATAATAAGATATTTGAAAGAATTTTTTTCGAGGGGAGTTCCCTGGCGGCTTAGTGGTTAGGACTCGGTGATTTCATTGCCATGGCCTGGGGTCAATCCCTGGTTGGGGAACTAAGATTCCTGCAAGCCGCGCCAAAAAAAAATTTTGTTTTAACGAGCTCTGTTGTCAGAAGTTGGCTTAATTGGAAGCTGATATCCAGACCCTGATAGGAGCTATTTTTTAAGGCGTCTCTTGTTTGTGTGGTCGTGCTGCTCAATGGGAACTTCTGTCAACTGAAACCCCCTTCTCGAGCCCCTGCCGACTGTATGGTGCACCAGACCTGTCTTCCTCCTTTTTTTCCTTTAATGTTTTATTTATTTTATTTTATTTATCTATTTGTGGCTGCATTGGGTCTTCATTGCTGTGTGTGGGCTTTCTTCTAGTTGCGGCGAGTGGGGGCTGCTCTTCGTTGGGGTGCGTGGGCTTCTCATTGCAGTGGCTTCTCCTGTTGTGGAGCACCGGCTCTACCCGCACAGGCTTCAGTAGTTGTGGCTCGCAGGCTCTAGAGCGCAGGCTCAGTAGTTGTGGTGCATGGGCTTAGTTGCTCTGCAGCATGTGGGGTCCTCCCGGACCAGGGCTCGAACCCGTGTCCCCTGCATTGGCAGGCGGGTTCTTAACCACGGCGCCACCAGGGAAGCCCTGTCTTCCTCCTTCTTGTTGACATGATGCTGCTGAGGATAATTGGATCGTCATTGGATTCTTTGGGAAACATAAGATCTCCCCGAACGGGCCCCTCTTCAACCTCTCCCTTGCCATTGCTTCTGCTTTTTTCCCCTGTGCCTTCTTTGATCTTCCATCACTTCCCTTGAGTCCTCTTCTGTGACTCCCTTCCAGCCCCTGGCTCCTTCATCCTTCTGTCTACCTCTGCCAGACCTTGTTATACACCAGCCCCTCAGCCACTTGAACTTTAGGCCCCTGCTCTCAAGGGACTGAGGGTCCCCCAGAAGCAACTACCTGAGGCTGAAAAGGAAAAAGGCTAATTGCAAAAAGGCTGAATATTTTATCCACTCAGATGAGCTTTGGAGACATCCAGACAGCCGCTAGATGTCTCCTCAGTCACTCACCTAAAGCGTAGTTCTCAGCCTCCATAAGATTACCTATCAGGTCAAATGAAAATCCTAGAAACTTGCTCCACAAATATTGATAAAAAGAATTAGCCCTCATATTGAGTAGGTAACCTCAACTTGTCCCATTTGCCAGAAACACAATTTGGTTAAAAATATAAAGTAGGTATAGGGACTTCCCTGGTGGTCCAGTGGTTAAGAATCCACCTTCCAATGCAGGGAACGTGGGTTTGATCCCTGGAACTAAGATCCCACATGCTGCGGCATAACTAAGCCCATGCACTCTAGAGCCTGCGCACCACAACTAGAAAGAAGCCTCTGCGTCACAACAAAGATCCTGCGTGCCGCAACTAAGACCCAACTCAGCCAAATAAATAAGTGTTTTAAATATAT